GGCCTCCAGCCCCGGTGCGGCCGCTCCGTTTTCCACTGCTGTTCTGCCAGTTTCCCACAGACGGATTAAAGCACACTGTAACGCGGCTGTGCATTCATGCGGCTTTGGACCTCTGTGTTATATTTGGAAGTCCGTCTCCTGTCCCCATATTTACCAGTGTACGAATCTGTGTGACCTTCTGTTGTTAAGAGTAGTCTACAGGTTTGAGTGTATTCCCTGGGGTGCAATTCCACAGGTGGTGTTGTCGATTTATTTCCCTCTCCTCTCCATTTGGCCACACGTGCATAACGTTATATATGCATATCCGCTCCCAAATAACGCAGCACATCTATGCCGGTGAATCTACCATGGTGGATGAATGATTCAGTTGAATTCGACTCCCAAGACGATCCTCACCTAGCTGTCAATTCAATTGAGACTGGCCAATAGGAACGTGGCCCCGCCCATGACATTATTTTCACAGTGAGAGCAAAATCCTGACACGAGAGCAAAGACTTAGGTTTTGAGAGAGAGAAGAAAAATGTTTTGAGAGAAACTTTTTTTTTTTGAGAGAGAGAGAGAGAGAAAATGTTTTCACACTGATAGCAAAAAAATAATATTTGAGAGTAAAAAAAAAAAAGGTTTTTGAGAGTTTTTTTTCTTGGAAATCATTTTTTAAATCTCAAATTATTATTTTTTATATTCTATGACAAAATACTTTCTCTCAAAACTTTTTTTAGTCTCAAATATTATTATTTTTTGCTATCAGTGTGAAAACTTTTTCTCTCAAATATTTTTTTTTCTCTCAAACATTTTTTTCCCTCTCATATCATTTATTTTCTCACATGTAATAAAGACACAAATATATCTCCATACAACACTGCAGCTAAATCATAAGCCCTTTTTAAAACAGGAATTGTGCAAATTTGCAGGAAAGCCCAATCAGTCTTTTTTCAGCATTGGCAGTATTAAAACAAAATTGAGGAGTGCGGCAAAATGCCGCCTGCCTACTTTTGTTTAAATACAGAATGCGCCTTTTTCGGGGCAATGGGGGGCGTGAGCAAGTAACAAAACGTGTAGCTCAGCGTGTGACGTAATCAGTGACGTGGGAGGGAAGCCATGGCTGGTCAGTCTTTCGGTGATTCTCTCATGTCCTTCGCCCGTCCTTCACCGTCCCCGTCATCTGACGGTTAATGGCCTCTTTGTTTGCGAGGACAAGAAAGATGCGCAATTCCTTGTCTCCCCAGTTGCTCATCTTTACAGTGTCTGTCAGGTTTGTGTTTCCCTCTTGCTACTAGCTGCTCGCTAATTCCTGCTATCAGCTGTTTCCTGTTTATCCACCGCCAGTGGGTCGCACCAACAGCCGTCATCAACAGCTCCTCCCACAAGTCATCAACAGCCCCTCCCGTGGCGGAAAGGCGCCTCAGTCTGTTTAAACTAAAAGGGTTCCGCCAATATGTCTACCCTACCAGGCGGAAATTTGGGCACCTCGGATCAACTCGTCAATCTGGCTCTGTGTGTCTAAACACTCGCAGCATGCCGGCAAAGCGGCACAACATTTGCGGAAAATCTGGCAGTGTAAAAGGGGCTAATAAGAGTATAATAAAAACGGTTGTAGGATGCTGCATTTCATTAACTTACTGTGATCACATGATGCAGGTACTTTTGCAGATATCTACTGTTAAAGGGACAGTTCACCCCAAAATCAAAAATACATAAGTTTACTCTTACTTATATATTTATATATTTATCAAGCTAGATTGTTTTTGTGAGTTGCCTAGTGTCGGAGATATTGGCCGTAGAGACGTCTGCCTTCTGTCTGATGTAAACTTAATTGGGTCCTTCTTGTTACAGCCTCTCTAAATAGACAGAAGCTCAACTACAGACCGGAACATATAAAGGATGCTAGAGAGATCCCAGCCAAGACAAACAAGAGATGGGGAAATCACTGGGCCAACCGTTGCATCTAGTTCATCCCCCTAACTTCCTAAACTGAACTAAACTAAAGCCGAAAACTGAACTACCAGCAATCTTCAACCCAAACCCAGCAAGCTAGCTCATGCTGGGAGACGAAGCAGGAAGAAAACCATAAGTCATTACTGCTATGCTGCTGCAGGTTGGTGTCTCTGTGTCTCCACACTCCTCCCCCCAGCTCCCTTTTACTCTCTCCTTCCAATCACTCTCAGGTGCTACACTCCTACAGAGAGGTCAGGAGACAGGTAGAGAGGAGCGAGAGAGAGGAAAGAGGGGGAGTGAGAGACATTGTTGTTGCAAGTTCCATTATATTGGAGAAAAGGCAGACATCTCTACAGCTGATATCTTGACACTCAGCAATACCTATCCCAGCTGACAGTGGGTACACACTGGACAGGTCACCAGACTATCACAGGGCTGACACATAGAGACAGACAACCATTCACACCTACGGACAATTTAGAGTCACCAGTTCACTTGCATGTCTTTGGACTGTGGGAGGAAGCTGGAGAAAAAAGAAAAAACCCATGCTGACAACATGCAACCTCCACAAAGAAGGGCTCCCCCACCCTGGGGTTCAAGCCCCCAAACCCAGATTCAAACCAGGGACCCTCTTGCTGTGAGGCAGCACTGCTAACCACTGAACCACCAATGGTTATTCATTAAATTCATTCAAAACCAATTCAAAGCAACCAATGAGTTAATCAAACACAAAGTCTGTCACTCACATGTCCTGGTTTTCTTTTAGCAAAACGTCCAGAAACTGGATCAAACTTTACATCACTCTCACTCCTCTTTCTGTTCTCCACCTTCCTCTGTCAGTTCCCTCAGCTCACAGGTGTGTCTCGTTTATCTGCTCACTCACTCTTACCACCTGACTCTCCCGTCAAGCTTGAAAAGGGCAAATCTGTTCTTTTTTTATTTTCCCCGTTCTAAAACAGTGGTTCCAAACTCACAGTCCAAAAGTGGGTCACAGGTCCGTTCTTAATGGACCACCAGTGACTCTAAAATGTGTCAAGTTTGAAAAAAACACACTTTATTTTAAAGTACAGTGATTTTCAGGCACAGAGCTTTTAATTTGAAGTGCCGTCTCCTGCTGCAGAGTGAGTGACTAACACACAGCTACTTCAGAGACAGACAGAGACAACAAACTAGCTTGATGACATGGACAAACGCAAGTATGACGCTGAATATTTTAAATTGTGTGGATCTTTAACTAATGACTACGGAGAAATCTGGATCCCGTGGATAGACCAGTTGGGAACCACTGCTCTAAAACACACGTTTATATTCATATTAAAGGGGCTCTGATCGAAATTCAGAGCGACTGCACATGGTTCTCAACCAAGAAAAAAAAAGCCAGATTAATTGATAATGAAAACAGCCGTTAGGTGCAGCAGAGAATCTGAATCAATGCTCTGTCCCATTCTGGATTTAATCTGAATGTATATGAGATTGTGTCATTTAAGAAGATTCTTCAGTTTCAATCAACAATGAGACTCAGAATCTGTTTTGAGAAGATTTTATTGCGTATATACGGGTTAAGGTTCATTGTGTGTTCTATGTAATGTAGCACTTCACGACACAGCAGGATTGTAAGAACAACCATCATTTCACCAAACCAATGATTTGTTTAGAAGCGGTTACATACTGAACATCAATTCATGTTTTTTTTATAAATCATCTTTTGTCAGATTTGATTATTCACAACGCGTTACTGTGAATTTTACAATCTAAATGGCTTTGACTTTGACATGATAGTGTGATACCCAATCAGATTTTTATGTGCACGCTTTTACTTCACAGACACCACTTCACAAGACAAGAGCTTTTACATTTTCCCCGATATCATTAATGTGTTTTGAACGTAACGTTAATAATCCGTCCGTCAGCGACACTGAGAATCCGTGCGGCTGCGGTTTTTAACAAACCTCTCCTGGATGCTACCCCATGTCAGACACATGCAACCTTAAGAATAACTTTAAAACTGTAAAAAACACGACAGTCCCCTTTAAATACCACACCTACGCTTGAATGTACTGCATCATTCAACATACTAAACATATAAATATAATCGAGTCAATGGCCAGCACTAAAACAGAATCAACGTGAAAAACACAGTGACACATCATTATACAGTACGTAGCTTACCTTCTCCATTTTCTTTAGAGTACAGATATAACACACACACACACCCACACACACCCACACACACAGTACATTCATAAATGAAACATACAACACCTATCACAATGTGCTAACACATCAAAGTTTAAAATGAAAAAAACTGACGTAAATAAGGCGATATTTTTTATGTAAATGCAACTTTTAAACAATTATTTGATAACTCTGATGATGGTGATATCAATAATAATATTAATAGAGAGCAGCATAACAGTTAGTCAAGTTCCAGTTTTACTCGCTTCTCAAATAAAATAAAAGTTTCGGGCTCAACATGTTAAAAATGACTACAGCAGTGCAGTTTGTTCATATCAGTTGTATTTTCAGCTCTATGTCTGGTCCCTTTGAATTCAAGGACCGCGTTCAAAAACGGCAACACTCTTTGAGAAAACTGTGCTAACGACAACCACATAGGGTTCTTCGGCTTGTCGCCAGAGGAGAACCTGTGCTGGTTCCTGGTAGGACCGTTTATAAAGAACCCTTTCAGAACCCTTTCCACCTATGAAAGGTTCCACCCTGAAACCCCACATTGAACCCTTCTATGGCGTCAATGCAAAGCCTACGCCGTAACCTACGCCCTAGCCTGACCGAAGGCCTCCCCAGCCTAGCCTGCACCATCCCAGAAATGTAACTAGACGTTGTGGTGACGCAGACCTCCTGCCACTGTTATTGTAAGCTGAAACCATTTCCCTCAAAATAGCATTTTAAGTCTTGTGTGTGATTTATCCTGGCTTCATATGAGCAGAGGAAATCTCTGCTAGTTGCTAGGCTAATCTATACTGTAAAACACCATAGGCTTGTGCTAATAACGTTAGCATGTTGTATTTGTTTGGAAAACGTGTTTAGTGTAAGACAGTTGTTTTGTCAGTGAACCTTGTGAGTTGTAATGGAGCCGAATTTTGTAACGTTACCTTTGTTAAATGTTGCTGTTGTCCCTGGCTTCATATGAGTAGAGGAAAAGTCCACTAGCTGCTAGGCTAATTTATACAATGTAAAATGCTATAGGCTTGTGCTAATAATGTTAGAATGTTGTATTTGTTTGGAAAACGTGTTTAGTATAAGACAGTTGTTTTGTCAGTGAACCTTGTGAGTTGTAATGGAGCCGAATTTTGTAATGTTACCTTTGTTAAATGTTGCTGTTGTCCCTGGCTTCATATGAGTAGACGAAAAATCTGCTAGCTGCCAGGCTAATTTATACAATGTAAAATGCCTTAGGCTTACGCTAATAACGTTAGCATTTTGTATTTGTGGGGAAAATGTGTCCAGATAAAGACAAGTGTTTGTCTGTGAATGCTGCGAGTTATGTAAGGAAAATGCTCAACTTCAGCAAACACTGAAATGAAGAGACTCGGAGAACCACAGAGAAAAGTTACAGCCAACGGGGTTACTTGAATCGCAGAACTCAGCATACAACAGTATACTAGTCTACACAGCAAAACAGATGGAAACAGCCCTAAACAATCACCCTTAAAATGCTTTTATAAGGGGTGTCTGCTCGTTCATGTGCATGTGTATGTGTGTGTGAACATGCTTGGGTCGTATTTCCTGGAAATCTAAAGTTCTCTTGATTTCCCTTGTTTGTTCCTAAAGCTGGACTTCATGCGCCAATGTTTCCTGTCTTCTTTGTCTCTCTGGCAAAAGCAACCGTTCCTATTGTGAAACTCCAACGGTCAGGTCACTCTAACCCAGAACGTTCTCCCTCATTTGACCTCCCAAGGCTTGACTTACGCACAAACTACTCAAATTTTCAAAACACCTCTTATGGGACCTTTTTGCTGCCAAATCTGATATTTGACCAGTTGCTTCCTAAACCTTGTGTAACGGACCTTATTTTTTCACCTTCGGTATAAAATGATACATTATCTGCCTCTACAGTTATAGTGAAGCTGACTCATGTACTTGTGTTTGAAATTGTTGCTATTAAGCCATGTTTAATGTGTGTTTAATGTGTGTTTTGAAGCAACTAAACCTTACAGCACTTCATAGAAACCCCACTGCCGACTAGTGTTTGCTCTAAAATAGTAAGTGGATAAATTATCCATAGATCTCTCTCCCACTTATCATGATTTTAGTTTACCAGGTTAGCCTGGGGCCAAAGGAACCACGTCCAGCAGCCTCGGGCTTCATGAGGCTCCTAAAGGGCCGGAGCCGATGTGGTCCAGCACCTACAACACTTAAGGTTCATTCATACTCCCATTATGCATGAAAAAAGATACATCTGTTTCAAATATTGTAAATGTCACTGTCCACGTATTGCCATGTGTCCTTCATGATGACATAGGAACAGCTAATAGATGGCACTACACGGTGAAAGAGTCAAAAGTTTCACACAAAAACAAACAAGGCGACGGTGGAGGAGGTCGAAATAATGACCCTTTAAAGTGGAGGTTTGTGGTCTGTGCGGCCATTATATATACATCCCAGCGTGGACGGAAAATTCTTGTCTATATTTTCACCATATATTATTATACATGACTTATTTGTTCTGTTCCACTGTTACGTAAATTTCTTTATTGTCTCCTACAATCATATTTGGCTTGAACTATGCTACACTGCCTTCACGATCTACTGTGGTTCTGCTCTATTTCGTCCGTATCCGTAAGCTTGACAAAATGAGCGCAGAGTACAGACAGAAGGCTCCGTCCATCTCTGTCTTCCTATCACCAATGGGCGTAAATAAGCCCTTATGTTTTTTCTTGTTAATTGAACCCCTAGTCAACCAAAGAACGCTTTAAGACCTCTTTATTCAAGAAAGGGTTCTTCGTAAGAAAATGGTTCTGGGTAGCACCTCAGCCCTTCAGGAAGAGACCAAGTGTAACCCTTATTTCCAAGAGTGTATAATTCCTACTCTTTCACCTTATGTGGAAGTAAACGCCCTCAAATTAAACCACATACTTTTTGTGTCATTTTAAAAATCTAACATACTGGAGCATGGAGCCAACACAACAATAAATGTGTCACTGTTCAGATACTTACAGACTGCACTGTTTGTCGCTGCCAGACGCGACACAAAGAAACTCAAAATTAGGTGAAGATTAAAAAAGAAACGGACTGGGATGAAACTATAAATATGTTCTATGATTATTTTATCCACAATAATCACAGGAAGTTGTAAAAACAAGGACTGGAAAGTAAAGGAAAGTTAAAAGTCTGATCACAGCCACCCGTGATGAGCTTGTGCTCGTCTCTAGTCTCGGTCTCCATTTGGTCTCCATGCAGCCCTTCAGTCTTTACAGGTAGGGATACTGGTTGAGTTTTCGCTGGTAAGTAGCACTGGCGTGGTGAAAAGGCTGCCCTCCCAGCTGCTGCTGCTGCTGCTGCTGTTGGTGGTGGTTGCCGTACTGTCCCGGAGCAGAGCCTCCCAGGGCCAGGCTGCCATTCTTCTGGAGCAGCGCCAGGGAAGAGTAGGCTCCGCTTGCCCTGCCGTGGCGGGACGAGCCGCCTTGCATCTGGTCCACAGCTTGGGACACAGAGGCCAGGGCGGCAGAGGCCGGGTAGGCGTATAGATTCGGGGTTGAGCTGAAGAGGGTGTTCTCGTGAAGCCGGTAAGAGGAGTGGGATGAGACAGGAGGGGGGTACGTGGGCTGCCACCTCAGAGAACTACTGCTTCCTGTTTGGTCATGGGATGATGACATCACAGACTGCTGTACCTGAAACAACAGGGAGAGGATCATAAATATCCGCACTGATGGTATTTGCAAGTTGTCAAGTACTTGTGTGACGTATTTCTGACTGCACCTGGGATGCTGTATGACCGATCCAAGCTATTTGTTTATTTGTATTAGTTTAACTGAGCCATATATCTGCAAAGGTCACAGGATGACCTCATAAATGTCCCTGTGAGCTCCAACCTGGACCCTATGTTTCCTATGTTTTGTGTTTGAGTGACTTATGGAGACAACAATATTTGTAACTGTTCCAGTACTGAGCGAGAGTGCTGCAGGCTGCAATGTAACCACAAAGGGCATTTGAACACCGTCTATATACATCCACTTAAAGTGCTTGTTTTTGCCACAGACAGGTTCGTCTTCACACTGTTCCAACAATCACCAGCTCTAATTTGTTTGATCCATCCAGTTAGGTGTCAAAATATGCTGACATGCATGCTAAAAGTACTGTTTATTTAAATGGAGTCTGGTTGGTTTGCCGATGGCGATTTCAGGGCTGCTTGTGGGTAAACAAAAATATCTAATATCTAAAATATCTAAGAATGAAATGATCAAGTTGTCTTTTGTGTTTTTAACAAAAGGATAGAACAGAATAATAAGAGTTATAACAGAGTCAATCTATTTCAGCTGAGACGTCAGAGCTCTGACACCTGGACTGACCCTCCTAGGTCTGACAAAGAAGAACAGATTCAGCCACATGATATAATTAAAACCTAGAAGAGCAGGAGCCAAAGGGAGGCCTCCTGTTTACTGATAACCGTCATGGGAACAGCTACAAAGCAAGTTTCTCATACACAGATGAAATGTGTTCAAGGACACAGTTCAGATCAGGTCAGGTTAAAACGTACACATCAGAAGGAAGCAGAATACGCTTCAAACAGCAGGATCCCACATGGAACCCCTCCTGTCATGTCTTGAAGACATCAAAGCCTGGATGGCCCTAAACTTTTTAAATTTTAATGAAAAAAAAACAGAGGTGATGGTGTTTGGCCCCAGCAGCTCCTGTATTTCCTCCCCTGTTGATCTGGGTCCTTTGGCAGTTTATGCGAAGTCTACTGTTACTAAAGTTAAAAAAAAACTAACTTGGGTTTTAAGATGGACAGTGACTTTAAATTGGACCGCCAAATTAGTGCAGCTGTAAAGTCGAGTTTTTTTCACCTTGCGAAGCTTGCGAAGGTGAAGCCTTTTCTTGCACATCAGCACTTTGAAACAGTAATCCATGCCTTCATCACGTCTCGGCTGGATTACTGCAATGCACTTTATTTTGGAGTTAGCCAGTCCTCCCTTGCACATCTCCAGTTAGTTCAGAACGCTGCCGCTCGTCTGCTAACTGGAGTACGAATGAGAGAGCACATTACACCCATCCTGGCCTCCCTCCACTGGCTGCCTGTGCACTTTAGAGTTCATTTTAAGATCCTTTTATTTGTTTTTAAATCTTTAAATGGCCTCGCCCCGCCCTACCTCTCTGAGCTTCTTCACCCCTACACCCCTGCCCGGTGCCTCAGGTAAGCTGATCAGCTGCTCCTTGAGGTACCGAGGTCCAAGCAAACGCTTAGAGGAGACCGTGCATCTGCGTTGCTGCTCCGAAAATGTGGAACAATCTACTCTGCACATCAGACAGGCTTCCTCACTGTCTGTTTTTAAAACCCGTCTTAAAACCCACTTTTACTCACTGGCTTTTAATCCAGCATGAGACCTCGCTCTGTTTTTATTTGTTTGTTGCTGTTTTTATTGTTTTTTTGTTTTAACTGCTTTTTATTATCTCACTGTTTTGTTGTTTATGACCTCCTATGTACAGCACTTTGTTTCAGCTGTGGTTGTTTTAAAGCGCTTTATAAATACAGTTGAGTTGAGTTGAGTTGAGTTGATGTCTATATGTGATGATACATTTTGTTCCCACATCGACCTCTGTAGGGATTCTTTCTATGTTGTCAAGCACTGGTAACACTTCACTTGAAGGTATCTACATAAGGGTAACATGACATTGTCATGAACTTGTCATAAACATGTACATGTCATAAAAATTTATGACTGCTGTCATTAAGTGTCATTCGGTTTTTGTAATGACAAGTTGACATTAAATTTGTTTGGGATGTCCTTATAATGACAACTTGACATTAACCTGGATGACATTACCAGAAGATGTCTTTGTATCCATGATTATGTCACCAAACACAAACACAAAAAGAGGTGCATTTCTTGTTAATGTCAAGTTGTCATGACAAAGACAACTTCTGGTGATGTCACTTTGATTAATGTCAAGTTGTCATAATCAAGACAACCCAAACAATGTCAACTTGTCATTATAAAAACCGAATGACCCTTAATGACAGCAGTCATAAACCTTTATGACATGTACATAATGTTCATGACAGGTTCATAACCGTGTCATGTCATAGTTATGACAGTGTCATGTCACTCTTATGTAGATACCTTCAAGTAAAGTGTTACCCAAGCACTTACAATAACAATCTAAGACTGTTAGTGGCAAAAACAGGCACATTTAGTAGATGTGGTTACAGTTAAGTTGGTTTCGACCCTGCTGACTGCAGCGTTCTCCAAAAATTGCAGAGGTGTGAACTGGCTGGTCTGAGCTCGGCTCAAGCCAGCTGATGGTGTCACCTGCAACTCAGCTGGTCAAATTGCCGCCGGCTGTTTGAAGAACGCAAAGCACGTCACCCCCTTCTACAGCCAGTCGGCTTGAAGTGGAGTCCTTTGGTCTTATCAAAATGACCACAGAAGGCGTGTTGACTTGCTGCAGCAGGTGCTCAAGCCCTCTGTTTTTGCAGAACGGAGCTTTGCAAGTAGCTGCCTGTTTCAACTCTGAACTGAACTCGCGGGTTCATCTTGTTAAGCAGGACATCAGCTACATTAAACAGCTGCTACCTGACTCAAGTTCAGAGGCTGAGATCTGCTGGACGTGGCCCGTTGATGGCGATCAGTGTTGGAATCTCCCGCCCGACTGGACTGCTGAGTCGACGCCTTCTTGGATTTTCCAGAGCCACTTGTAGCTTGATCTACGAGCGCAAAACAGATTACAGCTGCTTGAAGTAAACTGATCAGTTTAACCTCTCAGTCTAAGAGCTGAGATGATTATTAGTGCGACTTAAATTAATCCACATCTAATATTCAAAATAAAATCAATAAATATAAAGACTGGAGAATCTCTGGCCTCGAGGACCTGGAGCTGCTGGAGCTTTGTGGGTTGTGCTCTCCCCCGGCTGGCTCTTCACAGATGGCATGATGATGGCCAGAGACTTGGTGGGCTGTGAGGTGGTCTTGGGACTCAGGGGGCTGCTGGTGGAGGAGTCTGAGTCATGGGAGTCGTGCACCGTCACACAGCTGATCACGTTGGTCCTCTGGCTTGTTCCAGAGCTGCAGGACAGAAGAAGAGAAGAATAAAATAATCTCTCAATTTCACCCAAAAAGCGTGAAAAATTCAAATTCCACAGGCAGGAAATGAGCTCACCAGGCAGCCGGGAACTTCCTGTCATCCTCGTCTTCGGAGTCGCTGTGGATGGTGATGATGCTGACGGCAGGGCTTGGTGTGTCCGAGATGACGATGGGCTGAGACTGGTCACCAGCAAAAGCAGAAGTGTTGTGCACCACAGTGGTGGCCGATGACACGGGCCTGCAGAGGAAGACGACACAAATACAAAGTCTAATTGAATACCTGAGGCAGCAGAGGTAAAGTGACACCTTTATGTTGCCTTAAACTTCGTTGTGCCCACTTTAAATTACATTTCATTTTTATATTTAATAATGAATAATGTTAAATGCTGGGCCTGTTCTTGGCTAAAAGAGTTACTGCTTTTTCATGGTAGAATGTCAGTAGGCTGAGGATGGGTAAATGGATCTACAAGTCTGCCCTTGGAAAAAATTACATACGCTATCAGAGGTAATCAATCACTCTTTCACAACATCTGGACATCATACTTTTGAGGTGGGGGTTGGGGGTGGATTACATGTGTGTTAAATATTCGGCGGTTGTGCGGAGGTTTTACTCTGGTGTCCTTTTCTTTTTGTGTGTTTGTAGATGTATTGAAACACATACTTGATGTGTGTATGTCTTCGTTTATTGTTGTTAAAATCATTAATGATACTGTAGGAAAAAAATCCTAGTAGCTTATATAATAAATTACACACTATTAGAGCACGTTCATTTGGCTGATGCTTTTGTCCCAAGGAACTTTATTTGCACACACACATTTGGTGGCACAGTGTCACGTAGCGCTGAACCAACAGTCACTTATTTGATTAGTTGAAGTATTTCACTGCTGGAAAGACGATCTTTTCATAAAACTGGGCTGTCTACACAGTAGAAGGTTGCAAATAGGGCTGCACCTAACAATTATTTTCATTGTCGACTAATCTGTCGATTATTTCTTCAATTAGTCGACTAATCATTGAAAAATGTGTTAAAATGTTGAAAAATGTCAGACTGTCTCTCCCAAACCCCAAAATTATGTCATCTAATGTCTTGTTTCGTATTCACGCCAAAGGGTTTTAGTTCACTATCTTTGGAGAGTGTGTAAAGCTGTCAATATATGAGCGTAAGAAGCTGCAATAAGAGTATTTTGGGATACTTTTTTCTATGAAAAAGTGACTCAAACTGATTAGTCGACTACTAAAATAGTCACTGATTATTTCAATAGTCGATTAGTCATCGATTAGTCAACTAATCGTTGCAGCCCTAGTTGCAAATACTTTTGAAAATGGAGCTACATGACCAGAGACAACAGAGGAAAAGAACTGTGAACTCTGAAAACCTACAACTACCAGAATGCACTGCGAGCACTCGACCAATAAACACTCCCAGCGATGGGTGACGTAACCTGAGCTTGTCTGTTTTTTTCACAGAAAACAATATCACCACCAGCTGAGAAGAAACAATATCGAACTACAGTAAGCTAAAATATTTACAGGCAATAGGCAACATAGTAAATAGGGATGCACACGATTAGACGTCTAAATGATTAAACGTCCGCCCCTTTGCTTGTCAGCACCAGAAATATTAGTCAGTTAAACCAATTAGTGTTTTATTCATGTACAAGGCTGCTTAACTGTCATGCAGCCGCCTGCCACTAGTGGGTGCTACAGAGCCATCAGACAGCAGTCCCCCTGCCCACAGTAATGCTCGAGTAGAGTTTTAAAACAGCACAGTGGAGAACAGGAAAGATGTCCTCTCTAACCCAGCAAATCAAACAGATGGTATCCTGAGTGTATACACTCTTTGACGTTGGCCAAGGCTCTGCTGAGGTAGCGGGTGTTAGCAGCTACTTCCAGGGAATGAGAGGACGGCCGATGATTGCTTGTGCTGTGTTTATTACCCTCTGCAGAGCCTTGTTGTCTCGCACCAGACTCTTGGTTCATACTGAATATCAGCATGGCTGTGATTTGGTTGAAGGCACAAGGCTGCAGGCTTCCTCTCATGTGTTATTAATTAAATGAATATCTCTGCAGCCCCTCTGTCTTTGAACAAGAGGACAGGAGAAGCCGGGGATCAAACCACCAACAATACAATTTATGGACGACCTGCCCCCCAAAAACATGCAGATAATGTGGATGTATGACAGTCTGACAGGATACCTGGCTCTGCTCTCTGCATGTCGAGCCTTTGACCTCTTGCCCTGTTGGGATCTGGAGTGAGCGGCCCCTGAGTTGTGGCTCTGGGAGGCAGCGTGACGGCCAACACCAGAGTCCTGCTGGCTGACTCCATCGTATTGGCTTCCATGACGACCCCTGTGAACAGGAAAGACGCATTCAACATTAGACTGACCTGAAGTTGAGCTTTGAAACGCAGCATGAACTCACAGAGGCTCGTCAGACTAAACTCACCTCCAGCCAGAAGCTTGTTGACTGTCGGAGATTGGGGCTCCCATGGGTGAGTCGGGCACCACGGCCTGCCCAGGGTTGTGGATGGCCATGCCTGGCATCTGCTGCCATGTCGAGGGGATGAGGATCTGCTGTGTGCCTGCTGGCCAGCCCTGCTGTACGCACACACACATAAACACGTTAAAATACTGCACTTCTCAAAACCTTCAGCAGTGACGCACTCAGAAAAGAATAAAGTGCAGTCTGTCAGCCTCGGCAGGATAGAAGTCAGAGTTATTTTCTTAGAGGCTCATACTGAAATAAAAGCACATGCAAACACATAATGTCTGTCCCCATCTCAGTCCAACACCGAGACATCCAGCAAACCCTCACACACTGACAGCTGAACAAAACTCAAGATGACTCCACATGGTCACCACCTGCATCTTGTTTCCAGATTTATTCCTGTGCAGAGAGAGCTGCATTTGTTAGTGCTCAGAAAGATATGTGCTAAAAGACACTTAAGAAGCAGGAAACACCAAAGAAAGCCTTAAAAAAAACACAGCCCCCCTCCAAAAACAATTTACTCAGGTTCTGATACCAAGCATGCAAGCAGCATGCCGTACACTCCTGCACTGTAAAAAAAACACAGAAAAGATCCAGAAACAAGACAGCCACCCTGAAAGTGAAAGGAATGTGTTAGTATGAGACAAAGAGAGGAGGAAATCAAGGTGTCTCCTGAGATTTGCGGTACACGGTAGCTCACGAGGTAGAGGGCACACCAGTTAGGCAGGGTCCTATCTGCAGCAGCCCACATTCAAGTCCAGCCCGGGACCTTTGCTGCTTGTCATCACCCTCTCTATCCTGCCTTTCTTGTCCCTCTTTAAAGCAGAAATGACTGTCTCCCAGTTAGTCTTTTTTATCTACCACCAGGAGGCGCAAGAGTTCTACACAAAAACCTATTTTCCACCAACATGGAACCAGTTCTGTTCCAGTTCTGTAACCACAGAACAAAAGCTTGATGGTGATAAATGCAATCCGCCATCTTGCTACGACTGTTGGCGTCCTTTGTACATTGTGCAGCATCCTGAATAAAATGCTTCTGCTCAAAACTGGTGTGCTGGTTCCCCAGTATAGCACCAAGGTTCTAAGACAAGGAACTGGCTCAAGAACCAGAGCTAATCTGATGGTTAACAGCTTTAAATGCAAATTTCTCTGATTATTTTACTTGATGTGAATTTCTAAAAACTTCTGTGATGACTTCTGATATTTACAAAAACAAAATTTCCCTGAACGTGACAGTGTGGCCGTCAGTGTCCTGCAGAGAGGCTTTTAAAGGAATAGCCTGACATTTTGGGAGATACACGTCTTACTTTTCTGGCAGAGAATTAAATGATAAGATTGATTCAAGATCTGAGAAAAAGAAAGCACATCAATAGTTCTGTTTTTGCGCGTGCACAGTTTAGCCTTGAATGTACAGAGTTTTTTGCATCTGGACCTTGAAGCTGTAAGCAAAAGCACAAACCAAAGTACTGAGCTGCACATGCGTCCCACGCTCCGCTGCACCCCACTGACATACATGTGCTGGAAGGAAGGAAGAAGAGATTTCAATCAGTTGTGGTGATGTTTTACCTGCACGGAGGCATTCTGATCCAGTAAGCCGCTGAGGCTCGCGCCCCTGCAGCCAACTGGCAGCAGCACCGAACCTAGAGGCGGCATTCCCGCCACTGAGGAGCACAGGCTGCCGACCAGCAGGGGATCGAGGGAGGCCTGGGAGGAGGTGTGAGGGGAGGTGTTAAGACACATTTAGAAGAGACCTGCTCCATATTCTACTGAAGAGAATCTTTAATTGCAGTGCAGAGGAGAACAAACAGACACGTGACCAACCAACACACAAACCAAAGCACAGATGCAGAGGGTCACTGGTGTTGGTGGTGGTTCCCCGAAGATGGTTTCATTTTGGATCTGAGGACAACAAATCTGTTTTTGAAACTGTTATCTTTTATCATTACCAGCACTGACCACTAGTTTCACTCATCAGCAGCAGATTATATTGTGTCTAACCAACAATGCCAAAACTATTTGCCAAAATCAAACTTAGCTGTTGTCTAGTCTGGTGAACAGTTTCAAGTCTGTACTCAAATCTTTTACTGGAAAGTACCAAATCTTCAATACAAGTCAATTCAAATCCAAACTTTAACCGACAGTAGTAGACAGAAGTATTATCATTATCGTATTGTTGTTGTAGCTGCTCAAGGTGGAGCTAGTTTAAAGCTATAGTACGTAACTTCTACATGTCCTTAAATGTCCGTTTCACCCAAGCCACTACTAGAGGAGATGACACAATGCTGATTAAGCCGATCGGCTCCTCTAACATCTCGCAGTATTTTTCAATATATATCATTTTTAGTATGCGTGTAGACCAGCGACATTCCCGCACTGGCACACAGGAAATGCTTCCTCACAACAAGAAGGGAGGGGGAGGAAGAGCGGAGAGTGTCATAGCAAGAGGTAGAGCGCAGGTAGAAAGAGAAAGCAACATGGCGGAGAAGCGGCCGAGACACAGTTCAGAAGTGGATCCTACCACAAAGGCAAGTGTTACTCTGTGTACACGGTGTGTGGCGAGTGTTACTCTGTGTACATGAAGTGCCGCCGGCTTATTAGTTGTAATAACACATTATCTGCTGGGAGGCAACAGAAGTTACGCACTATAGCTTTGACTAATTTATACAGTTAAGTTAGTTTTAGGCCCAATCGCATTTCTAACCCTTAAATCTTCCACTTGGTATAGAGTGCCCTCGTTTGCGAGATAACCCTTGATGAAGGAAGTGAGAAATATTAGGGTAGAGATCTTTCCCTAAGAAATGAGACAACACTTCATGCAAATTGGCGTGGTTGATGTGTAGGTTTGTGCCGATTTCCGGTTTAACCGGTTCAGTCCGGTTTAAGAGCTCCACCTGGTTTAATTCACGTCAAAAAAAAAAAAAAGCTCTTCACATCGGCGGCGTATCAGCGAGAGTCCCTTGATACGCAAATTTCACTGGGGGCGGGGAAAAGTGCGAGGGAGTCAGCAGTCATTCAGTTTGTTGCCCTAACCAAAGATACTGGATTACTACTGTACTATACAGTATATAGTATACTGTACTATTACTACTATTATTACTGATTTATCCACAGTCTTTGCCCTAAAGTCTTGGTGTTCTTCTGCTTCTTCTTCTTGTGTAACCTTGTGTGTATTGACGGTTAATACAGCATTATCACCAACTAGTGGATTGGAAGTGTATTACACCTATAATGGGCTTTTATTGGGAAAAATTGCTCAAATGCGACCCCCAGTGGTAAAATTAGGTATATAATTTGATATATCGGTTCGGTTAGATATTTGGCTTTAAATCAGACCGGTTGGAAAATTTCAAACCGACACAAGCCTACTGACGTGCAGGCATATATCACGTGTAGTAGCAACGCAAGGTATCGGTAGTCATTCAGGTTTGAAAATGCCGGCTGCGGCGCTTGTTACCTGTGCCGTCTGCTATGTTTATTCTTCTCCATCTGATGAATCAACGGAGAAGAAATGCTGAAAACAGGAGGCGCCTATGACGTCTTCTAGTTCTGATCGATTTTGTTCGGGTAAATGGATTTGTTTAAATTTTTTTTTTTTTTAAAAGATATTTTTTAGGGCATTTTTTGCCTTTAATTGATAGGATAGTGAAGTGTGAAGGGGGGAGAGAGAGGGAGAGACATGCAGCAAAGGGCCACAGGCTGGAGTCGAACCCGGGCCGCTGTGGCAACAGCCTTGTACATGGGCGCCTGCTCTACCACTAAGCCACTGACGCCCCAATTTGTTTAAATATTTTGACGCTGTGTTCAACCGAGTTGCTGATGAGTTTACGCTAGTCCAACCATCTATTGTTTGTATAGCCTACATTCCGATCGTACAGTAACAAATTGTTTTCCAAAACTTGCCAAAGTTGCTGACTTCGCAAGGTGTTCAAGGAAATTTCATCTTCCACTTAGTTGAAAGTGTGGGTCGGGGCTCCCTTGGAATCTAGGGCGGGTTTTAAGTGTTGGAAACCACTTCCACTACCTCAATTCTGTTTTGGGACACCACTAGCCTAAACATGAACGCGCACAAGTGGGTATTTCTAGGGGAAGTGTGGGTATTGGGACAGGCCCTTAGTCAAGTGCTTCCAAACCTAGGGGTCCGGTTCCTCCAAAGAGTCAAAAGATAAATCTGGGGGGTCGTGAGATGATTAATCGGGTAAACAAGAAGAATAAAACTAAGTTCTAATGCACAAATTTAACAATTTTACTTGTCTCACCACTCGGAGGCCGTATTTATACCTGGTATTAACATTTGTCTTGAGTGATCAGATCAAAAGTGGACAGCTCTATGTGCTGGTGTAAAAGCACCCAATGTGTCCTCAACACATCTTGAGATACGACCACTCAGACAATATTCAGAGGCGGTTTTGGCTGCATTTGGTCACATTCTTTCAGCAGTGTGTACGCTGAGGACCGCCTACTCAGCTGACATCCTTGCTTTTCCGACTCTCCGACTAGATAAGCAAACTTTCTGTTGCTGTTGTTACACAGCTCAATGCAGTGCTGAAGGACCGTCGATGAGCACAAGCTAATACAGCAGCAGCAGACGGTAAATGAAATGCTGTATGTGTTTATTTGCATGTAGAGTGGAGAAGTTCTCCAGCAGCTTCTCTGGTTTCCTGTTAAATGTACACAAGTAAAAGTACTTAGTTACATTCCACTGGTCATGCAGTGGGTCCTACCTGTGCTAGCATGCCGGGCTGGATGTGAAGAGACTGGGACGACTGGTTCTGAGGAACTAAGGGAACAGAGTTGTCCATCCTCACTGGATAACCAGAGGGCTTACTGGATGTTTGAAGACCTGTAAGGAAAAAAACAGAAGCAGCTGGTATTATGTGAAATCTAACATGTAAAACAGGACGTAGGACATAAGAAATTTGGGATTATAAATTCAGCCGCACAAAAGCAAAATATCAATAAAAATTTCCTTTGTTGCCTGATGGTCAGACTATGAGCCAGTGGGATTTAGGGCGCATTCACACCAGGATAGTCCAGGGACTCGGTTCGACTGGGGGAGAATGCCGAAAAATTTCACACCTTCATTTGGTTCGGTTCACTTTCACATTGTACTTTTTAAAGCGGACCAAGTATTGCCCGAAATGACCACTGACCAGGAAGAAAACAAGCATGAGGAAGAGGAAAACCTGGCTCAGCGATTAGCCAGGACTGAAAACTCCTGAATTTATGCAGTCTTGGGGTTTCTGTTTTTACTTTGGTGTTAAATTTTTTTTCTCAAGAAGCTTTTCCAACTTCTTCTTTTTTTTTACCTCTGCTTCTTGCGGTTCGCACTGTTGGCTTTGTTTGTTTTTTCCCCCCAAAAAAGCACTGCGCCCTACGTCACTTCCTCTCTTTGGTTCACTGGATAGTCCGTTTGCATCTCCCACTGTAAGCGAACCGCACCAGGGTTCACTTGCAAGTGAACCGAGACCCCCAGTTTTCAAGCGGACCAACGTTTGCTCGTTTGGTCTGCACCAGAGTTCAATGAGCGTTCACACCACTCCAAATGAACAGAACTATCCATGGAAGCGGCCCAGGGTTCGTTTAAAGCAGCCAGTGTGAATGCGTCCTTACTTTCATTGACATGACACAAACATCTTGCTCTCTCACCCTGTATGGTGGGAGGGCAAACTATGAGTGTTTGCTGGAAGGGCTCGGTCTGGGCGCAGAGCTGGGTAGGTCTGGTCTGCAGTGGCACACCTTGCTGGGTCAGGCCGGGGATGTTTATGGTGGCCTGCTGGTAGAGGCCGGGTTGGTAGTTCAGCAACGGGACGTTACTGCTGAGGGACAGGGACTGGCCTCCTGTAGAGGCCATCTGGAAGATACAAGATGCAGGAAAAGAACTGTAACCAAAGCCTGAAAAGATGAGTCGAGTTCAGCAAAAACATCCAAAGGGGCCTCATTTAAAAAAGCAAGAACACGTTCTAAATAAGTCTGTGTGAACAAGAACAAACAAACAAGTGAACTCATGATCATAATATAGATCCTGTAAAACCAGATTACCATGAAACCGCAATATTTTTCTGAGACAGTTAATGTACCCTAAAAATCTCATACCATTGTAAACTTAGTTCCTGGTAAAGGTCTTATTTTTTGTTACACTGTGTTCTGCAATGTTCCCAGTATTTCCACACTACATTTGTTGCTGTACAGTTAGTTATTTGTTAATGCAGTTAGATTGTGAGAGGTCTTCCTTAAATATAACAAGACATGCTTCATAAAAATGATGTTGCTCCTGTCAGCCCATAAACACAGTGTACAAAGATAAATAAATGAAGACACAGTATGGGAGCAGTTTGATGAAGAACTGCAGTCCCACGTCTATGACCCTATTAAAGCAAAATAATTTTAGCATAACAGAAAATACATGCAGCTTAATTAAATCAATTAAAACGATTGGCACTGAAGCTTAACAGTTAATCATTAATGCAGATTGATTTCATTGAATCCTCTGGATCTTTTATATGCAGCAACAACGGCTCAGCGGAGCAGCACTAGCGAAACAGGAGGCGCTAATGGTGTCAGTTACTGAATTTCAAATAGAAATGGAAACCCACGTCTTTAGGAACTCACACTCTGAAGCACAAGAGGAGTAAATCAGAGTCTATGTGTGTAGAAATGAGCGTATGCAGGATTTAAGCAAACACACACAGTGAATACATGAGGCCCCAGAGGCATCACTTCACAGTTACAAGTAAAAACTGGATCAACAGAAATTGTTTAATGGAGAATATTCTCACCTGGTTGTGCTGGTTTAGTTGGCTACTGAATGTGACAGTGAGGTTGGTGGCTGCACTCGGGGTATTGCTGCTGGCAAACATATTTTTTCCATTCTCAAAGGCGCTGCATCTGCGTTTGCATATATCCATATTTTGAAAGCAGGACTTCACGCTGCCAAAAAAAAGAATAATAATAATGAGGAGGAAAAAAGGAACAGAGGTGGAGTCCTGCACTGTGATGCTAAACCACATCGACTACAATCACCACTGCCACAGCCCTGCACTTACTGTGAGCTGTGAGGAAAGTGCAGCAGGTGCGTCATGGTAACAAAGGGATGGTTCAGCGTCTTCATGGGCGTGATTCGTTTGTCTGCGTCCAACGTCAGCATCTTCTTCAGCAGGTCTATGAACTCCCGCCTGTCAGCCTTCTCTGCTAAGATGTCGGTCCCCTCCAGGTTTGTCATGTTCACCTGCAGAGTGACAGGAAGTCTGTGTTTGCCAAACTGCATCCTGGCACACCCAACGTCTTCCCATCACAACTCAAAGTGATCTGCCTTGTATGTGAAATAACCAGTTCCAAAACCAGCTCTACCAACCACATCACTGTAAACTGAAATCAAACAGCTCCTCCTCACCTGCATCATATCATCCAGACAGTTGAAGATGTATTTCCGTGCCTCCTTTGACTTGATGCCCATCTCCGCCTCGTGCTCTGCAGGAGTCTGCACAACAATAACCACAGCAACACCTCAGTATATCTTATGTGCACACACTTGATGATAAAATCAACCTCAGAAATCTCCATCTCTGCACAGTGTTAATTTCGTTAACGAAAACTATGACTAAATATGTTCGTCAGCAACCCTTTTTTCCATGACTAACACGACATGATGTCAAGATGACACAGACGTCATTAAACACAAACTGTGAATATAAATGTCCCCTGGGGTGAAGGGTTCGAACCCAGGGTGGGGGAGCCGTTCTGTGTGGAGTTTGCATGTTCTCCCCGTGACATGCAGGTTAATCGGTGACTCTAAATTGTCCGTAGGTGTGAATGTGAGTGTGAATGGTTGTCTGTCTCCATGTGTCAGCCCTGTGATAGTCTGGCAGAGCGGCTGAAGGCTCTAGACCCCATGGCGGTCAGGTGGGCTGGCAGGACAGTGAGGTGGATGGAAGAGGAAGACCTGAGAGTGCAGGTGGGGGTGTGGATACGCTAGAGTTTGGAGAGGTACAGACGAGCGAGGTCGTGGATGGCCTTAAAAACTTTGAGTGCATGTTCGGATGTTTAAACAACATAACACAAAATGAACTCTACCTCCGCAGAGTCACTCACTTTGAGTCTCCAGAGGGGGTAGCTGGAGTCGGGGCCTCTGTTAAAGAAGCGGCTGGTCTTGGTTCCTGCACTCAGCAGGTACTCTGCAGGAAGGCCCTGTGTCTGGGAAATGTAACGAATCTGAGGGAGACAATGAAAACAAACACAAAATGTCAGTTGCAACAGCTGTTTATACAGATATCATCATCTGAGGGCTGACTGCCTCTTAACAAGGAGGTGTTAGTTTACATAATATGCAAAACTATGCAAAACATGTGGTTATTGTTTTAGTTAAACTGTCAAATGTCCCCAGATATATTCTGACGTTAATTGATAATAATCAACACACACTTTCCTCTCACGTCTGACACCCAGCCAACAACAGGAAACGTCTTTTTTCACTTTGTACACAGTCACAGTCACAGAACAAGCGCTAAAAAACCCCTGAAAGAAAAATTCAACACTTGGGGAAATGTGCTCATTCGGGTTCTTGTCAGGAGTTGGGTGCGAAGGTTGACACCACTCTCATATCAGTTTGTTTAAGATGAAGCTACAGCCAGCAGCTGGTTAGCTTAGCTTAGCATAAAGACTGGAAACAGATGGAAACAGTTAGCCTGGCTCTGTTCAGAAGTAAATGATTGGCATCTTGATATACAGACCTTACAGTAATGATTATTGTGTGTGTGTGTTAAGCTGTGTAAAGTTTGTTCATTTCTGTTCTGTTACCCACTTACTGACTCCCTTTATCAGATGATAAGTCAACATTAAAAGACACGCAAAAAGGAAATAATTCCACGTCACCTTCTGTAACACCACACTGTTGTTTTCACACTTTGGCAATCCTTTATAGACCACAACAAGAAGTGCACTACCTCCTTCCCCCAACTAGCCTAAATGATAAATGATACAAAACACGATCATTCTGATATCCTTTAAAATCCCCTCCAGTGTCCCTCTTTTTTCTCTCTTTATAATTTAATTTTTCAATATTTTCAAATTAAAATGCTAATGTACATTTTATCTGTAAAAACAATAGTTACTTACTTACTTGTGTCTTTTCTATACATGTATGACAGCTCACCCTTTTAATGTATTTTTGATTTGTTGAATATTTTCGACATATTTGTATCAGAAATTCTGTTTTCACTTTTAAACCACTGTCAATGCGTTTTTAACTTTGAAAACCCCCAATATAAAAAAGTTGTTAACAAAAAAAAAAAAAAAAAAAAAAAAAAGGCCTTGACAGAAAAATGTCCTTCTGCTTCTTTTAACTGGCTAATAAACTTTGCCTGGTGAAAATATATAATACAAATATAGGCTCTACCAGTCTGTGTGCTGTAAATCGTTTCATCTGATTTTGCAAGGAATCTGACCCAGGGACGGGCATCAGGGCCAGATGCATAAAACTGTGTGTGTGTCACAACATCTATTGGATGAGGGATCCCTCCTCAGTTGCTCGTCCTGAGGTTTCTGCCATTTTTTCCCCATTAAAGGATGTTTTTAGGGAGTTTTTCCTTATCTGCTGTGAGGGTGCAAAGGACAGAGGGGCGAATTGTGATTTGTGATATTGGGCTTTATGAATAAAACTGAATTGACCTGTGGATTCACAACTATAACTAGACAGAACTATGCCTCTCGTCAGATCTGGTATCAATCTTTTCATCGAACTCCCCACCAGAAAGCAAACTCCCCAAAACTCCTACTTCTTTAAACAGAGAACTTGTGAAATGATTAAAAAATGTATTTGATTATTTATTAGTTTCATATTAAGACAGACAATAAAGGTCAATTTAGAACATATGGTAACACTTTACTTTAAGGTATCGACATAAGAGTGAAATGACACGGTCATGAACCTGTCATGAACATTATGTACATGTCATAAACGTTTATGACTGCTGTCATTAAGTGTCATTCGGTTTTTGTAATGACAAGTTGACATTGTTTGGGTTGTCTTGATTATGACAACTTGACAATAACCAGGATGACATCACCAGAAGATGTCTTTGTCATAACAACTTGACATTAACAATAAATGCACCTCTTTTTGTGTTTATGACAAGGTGACATAATGATTATTATTGTTATGACAAACACATCTTCTGGTAATGTCATCCTGGTTAAAGTCATGTTGTCCTTATAAGGACATCCCAAACAAATTTAATGTCAACTTGTCATGACAAAGACATCTTCTGGTAATGTCACTTTAATTAATGTCAAGTTGTCATAATCAAGACAACCCAAACAATGTCAACTTGTCATTACAAAAACCGAATGACACTTAATGACAGCAGTCATAAATGTTTATGACATGTACATACTTGACATTAATTAAAGTGACATTACCAGAAGATGTCTTTGTCATGACAAGTTGACATTAAATTTGTTTGGGATGTCCTTATTGTGACAACATGACTTTAACCAGGATGACATTACCAGAAGATGTATTTGTCATAACAATAATAATCATTATGTCACCTTGTCATAAACACAAAAAGAGGTGCATTTATTGTTAATGTCAAGTTGTTATGACAAAGACATCTTCTGATAATGTCATCCTGGTTATTGTCAAGTTGTCATAATCAAGACAACCCAAACAATGTCAACTTGTCATTATAAAAACAGAATGACACTTAATGACAGCAGTCATAAACATTTATGACATGTACATAATGTTCATGACAGGTTCTTGACCGTGTCATGTCATTGTTATGACCGTGTCATGTCACACTTATGTAGATACCTTCAAGTAAAGTGTTACTAAATATATTACATGAGAGTGCTGCAGCTGACCTGATCATACTCTGAGGCGCCAGGGTAAAGAGGCCATCCCAAGAACAGCTCAGCGATGACACATCCTAACGACCACATGTCAATCGCTTCACAGAAAGGAAGGCCCAGGATGATCTCCGGAGCTCTGCAGGCACATGGACATATGACACAATCACAGCAGGTAATTTGCATATTATTCATATCTCTTCCTGCACAGTCGAGGCTGACGCACTCACCTGTAGTATCGCGACTGCAGGTAGGTGGAGCAGACCGCTTTGGACACGTGGCTGGCCGAGCCGAAATCAATGACTTTGACTCTGTACGGCTGCCTCAGAGGGTCCACTAACATGATGTTCTCGGGCTTCAGGTCGGCGTGGATCAGCCCCAGGCTCTTCAGCTTCATCAGTGCCGTGGCCACCTGCTGAAGAATGGGCCGAATGCACTTGAGCAGCAGAGGGCTGAACTTGCTGTGCTTCAGGAAGTCGTAAAGGTTCTGCTCCAGCATCTCAAACACAAGGCACGTGTGGTTCTTGTGCTGGAAACACTCGTACGAGCGGACAAAGTTGAACTCATCAGCGTTCTCTGTGCTCAGCCTGCTGAGGATGCTCACCTGCAGGGAGGAGGGAGAGGACGATGAAGATATAATTGTGATCATTAATCCAAATCAATAATAATGAAGAAAACAGTAGCTAACCATGTTTTGTATTTTAAACCTTTTACACTCCCTTTATTGACAGGCTTTTAGCAGACTTACTATATGTCTTAGCAGGGCATACTATTTCCAGAATAAATATGGTTTGAAAATTTCATGTGATCTTAGACCGTTTTTGTAAAGGTGTTTGTAAAGTTAGCTAAATATCCTTAATATGAATTGACAGAGTAGAGTGTTAGCAACCATGTTGATACAATACTTGGAGCCTTAGCACTGCTCCCATACATCCCATAATGCTTTGGGGAATGCAAGCACAAAGTACAGTATGCTACATTCATGGCGTTCACATCAAATTCCAAGTCAAAATAACAACTGGGAAACTTGGATTTCTCTTCAAGCTCTGATATATCTAACTTTGCATTTATTAATACAGCCTGGAAACAAAGCAAATATGGACGCCTCGAATCAGCCAAAGATCATGGATGTGTTTCGTAGTCATATAACAAGCCTTTGTTGACTTGTCCTTTGGGGAATTGACACCGCCATCGTACCATTTTTCTGAAAATCTGAAGTGAACTTGATGAGATCGACACTGAAAAATGTTAAATAACTAATTGCAGTTGATATTAACTTGCTGTTTTGCAGACCAACAGACATTTCTAAATCAGACACTGATGCAGCAAATAATCAATTGCAGTTAATATTGCAGTTGTCTGCAGAAGACACCTTAACCTCATTGAAATGAGTACCTCTGATATTTTGTAAAAAGCAGAACAACACTAAGTCTACAACTGGCAGTCGATCCATGATAGTATAGACTGAAAGTGAACAAGGGCAGGTGCCATTTCAATCCCTGCTCATCCCCAGCTGACCCTCCTTCTGCTCTCGAAGTGGCCTCAGTGCGACAAAAGCTGTTGCGTAACACTGAGGGCTAACATTAAGTGAATGAGGGGAAGTGGAACTACTACTACCATTAAAAGTCATGCTAATTTAGCAGTGAGCAGTTACTGTTTGCAGTGTACTTGTTGATGTTCAGACAATTATTACAGGATGACTCCAAACTCTGATTCTTCTTCTGTGATTTCTAAGCAGATTTACGGATGTTCATCAGCTGCTCAGGGTAAAGGAATGAGAACAGCTTTCTGCTTTTCACCCTAAAGTTTTTATTAGTTCCAAAATACTCACTTCAATTTGACCTTGTCGAGCATAAGAGGGATGGTTCTTCAAGATCTTAATTGCCACTATCTCATTTGTGCCCCGCTTCCAGCATTTGGCCACCTGACCAAAGGTGCCGCGTCCCAGGAACTCGAGCACCTCGTAGCTGTTGGACATCGAGCACAGAATCTCATGTTGGACCAGCTGGTAGTCGCCCTCGCTGTGGGAGTTGCTGCTCTTTGTGGTAGAAGTGGAATGTGCTATGGACTGAGCGGTGGTGGTTCCCCCTCCACCACCGGTACGGTTCGAGACCACGGGGGCCGAGAGCTCCTCCAGTATCTGAACGCTGTCGCTGCTGTCCACCTCCTCACTCTTCCGCTTCAAGCTGTACTGCTTGTGGTAGAGGTCGCACGGCTGGGAGGAGGACTCTGCATCCTTGACACGACGGCTGGACGAGGACGATGAGGAGGAGGAGGAGGGAGGTCCGCGAACGCTACCTGTGCTGTCTGCTGCCCGCACCACCGTCTGCTCCCGGGAGCCGGCTGTCGGAGGATGCACCTGATTGGAGTTGTACACTTGGTTGAAGTTAGAGCCAGAAGTGGAGGGTGCAGCTCCCTGGGTGGGGCTCTGCTGGTAGTAACCATTATCTCCCAGCTGGTTTGACACATCCCAGGCAGGATTCTCCACTTTGAGCCTCTTTGAACGAGAGTAGGCACTGGAGGACACGGAGGGTGAGGAGAACACCTGGAGCTGCGACGCCATGTCTGTGGATGAATTAAAGATCAGCAGCAGCTACTGATGATAGAAATCATTGTAACATGTATGTCACTGTGCTGTGTTTCTAATATCCAATTAGCCTACTTAGACAAGTCTTGCTGGGCTTCAACACTTACAGCCCACAGATGAATAGACAAATAGGAAATAAGTGCCCTTCTTGCTGGAGGACCTGATGACACGTTACTGCAGCAGAAACCGACACATCAGTAGGCTGAACGGAGATGATGTGCTGAAAAAAATCGTGTGGCTAATAAACTGCTTATGTAGGTGGAAGAAGTTAAATGTGGCAATACATTTTTGCTGTTTACTAGTCCTGTAAAGTTATCCCCACCACTCGCTGTCGCCATCTCTCTCAGCTCAGCTCCCTGTTCCACCAGAAGAGACTGACCTCTGGTGGTGCATGATGTGCACTACAATACATTACCTCGATAAAGTATCTCTGTATCAGTTCAGTACAGAGAGAAGTGTCTGTATTTTTGAAAGTTCTGAAAATTATACCTTCAGGATTTCTACTTACCGTAATACCATGCATAGGTGTGGATTTTGCAGGGGACACATCCCCCTCAATACAAAGATGAAAGAAGCAAAGGACTTTGACAAAATTACAGACATGTACACCATACATTGATGCAGAAAAGGTACAAGTTGCTGCATTCAAAAATAACCAGACAGAAGAAGATCAAGTATTTGATACTAAAGACAACCAAGAACCCACTGTTTCATATGTGCCATGCCACACAAAACTGCTCAGGAATGACCCGAGGAACATGACAAAGAGCTTAAGGCCTTGACCTGGCCTCCAAATTCCCCAGATCCAAATCTGATCGAGCATCCTTGGAACATGCTGGTGTGTCATCTTGCAACCCACAGGACTCAAAGGATCTGCAGTGAAGACCCTGGTGCCAGACACCATAGGGCATCCCCAGACTTCCTGTGTCCATACCTTGACATGTCAGAGCTATGTCCAATCTGTAGAGGCCCAACCGTGGATGGGCAGTACGTCTGGGGTATTGGCACATCCCACAGATGCTCAGTCGGATTGGGGACTGAGGAATTAGGAGGCCGGGTCGATGCCTTGAGCTCTTTGTCATGTTCCTTGGGCCATTCCTGGGCAGTTTTTGCGGTGTGGCATGGCACATTGTCCTGCTGGGGGGCCACTGCCATCTGGGAGTGTTGTTGCCATAAGGGGGTTTACTTGGTCTGTAACGGTGTTCAGGTGAGTGGAGCGCACAGAACATTTAGTCCAGTGGTTCCCAACTGATCTATCAACAGGGTCCAGATTTCTCCTTCATCATTAGTTCAAGGTCCACACAGTTTAATACACCCACTGTGTCACACTTATGGTTGGCCTTGTGGTTGTTAATAATAAAGTATGTTTCTACAAACTTGACACGTTTGCAAGTCACTTGTGGTCCATTCAGAATGGACCCGTGACCTACTTTTGGACAATGCCCCACCAGTTAGGAACCACTGATTTAATCTGTAAAATATCTGAACATAGTGAAAAAAAAATGCAATATGACATCTTCTTACGGCTTGACCTGTCAAAACAACAGATAATGTGAAGTCAGCGTCACGCAGGATTAAATGTTTGTGGACAGGGGACGCCATCTTGTGAGGTACCCACTCTCATACCTGTCCCTGCCAATGTGGTCAAGCAACATTTGGACAAACTAATCATAATACACAACATAGATCCATATGACTTGGCAGCAAGACTGGATTACAGACCATTAATTAAACACCACCTTCACTTATATACCTGGACATTGCACACACTTTGGTAACAGAGCACGTACCTCACAAGATGGTGTAATGTACCTACCTCAACTTTTCTTGTACGAGTATTGTAACCAATTACTGATAGAATTTCAATAATAATATTAAAGTTACCCCAAAGCAAATAAGTCTTTACAACCTTACTTTTGTTGTCACCCTCCTACTTACTAGAAATCCAGCATTCAATGAATTCCACATTCATTTCCAGGATCGTCATGCGTGTACATCACAAAGCAACAACTAGTCTGGAAGATGGAAACGTTCACTTTCAGCAGCTGGAAATATTCCCATTACTTTGATTTTGTTGGGAGGAAAGATGAAGGCCACCATTGTTCCAGGTGGCAGTACTAAGACTCTTTCCACTGCAAAATAAACAACCTTAAACGTCCTGAAAGACACAGACCGACAGCACAACATGAAGCTCGTGGGAATACACCCCACCAAAGATGAGCCCTCTGTGGCCATGAAGGATGGATGTAGCCCTACACTGGCTCAACAACCAAAACTGGATTTTAATCATGGACAGCTGCAGGCTACAAGGGACAAAGAACTAATGAAGCTTGTGGCTCCATGATTGACTCGCCATCCTTCAGACAGATCCTTGGTAACAGGCAACAGAAAACCCCTGGGTAAAAAAAATCATTTGCACGCTATCTGGCTTTGGCAGCACTTACTGGAGATTACTCTGACTTTCACACAGAGGCACATGCCAAGTCTGAATTTTGAAGGATGTGATTACCAATTTTGTGGGAGTAACAGAAAAGTAGTATATAGTGCCACCAAGCTGCATACTCCGGGGCTGAAAAATGAAGCCAACACAGAAGTGCTAAACCTGCAGTTCCTCTGATGGCCACTTGGGGCTGACTCCAGAAGCCAGTCAACCCCATAGAGCCCTATGTGAAGATGTCCAACTATACAGGAGGACTAAACATGTTTGCAGCCTGGAACAAAAAACAGTTTTGGTCTCTACTGCTAATTATACAACAGTTAGTTCCGGCCAAGCGATTTGAAGCAATTTGATTGGCCAGGAGACATTCAAAACGTGACGATATTGGAGTACAACATCACGGTTTGTTTACTCTCTGAATGTATTACTCCGCATCAAACAGCTGATCAATGCTGATGCGTTGCCATGGCAACATTCTAACTACTGCTGCGCTCAAGTGACATTAACGAGTCTGGCCTACTTCAGAGAAAACATGGATTTCTTAAAAATATCAGTTTTGAACTGAATTATGAGTGGTCATCAGATGAGGATGAGGGAGAAGGGAAGCTGAATCCGGCTGGGGCTGTGCCAACATTCAGGTTTGTGAATACGAAGTAGCGTATCCACCTTATTTTCAAACACGGAAGTAAATAGTGATCAACTTCCGTTTTTTTGTGCGTGACTTCCGGTCAGCCGCTTTCCCTCATGCTTTCCCTTAGCGGAGCTAACGGTGCAAGCTAATTTTTTTTCAATTTTCAGTTGTTTATGTTATTCAATCAGTTAGTTAGTTAGTTAGTCTGTGTATTTTGTATAACGTTAGATAACTGTGCCCACGTTTCCGTTATAAAGGAAATTTATTCCCTCTAAACGCGAATAAATCGTACGTCAATCATAAACTATGAACCAAAAAAGCACAATCTATCCCGAGTGAGACAAACTGCTTGATCTCCGTCTCCAGTGTACCAGCAGAGAACCTGCAGAACCGAATCAGCGAAAAAACACACCGGGCTACACAGCCTCTCTACCTGAGCAGCTGAAGCTGCAGCTCACACCCTCGACACACAGACACACAGACGGTGCTTCTGCATGGCAGCCACACGTGTGCGCAACTGTGAGAAATAAATATGTGAGGTGTATGCTGCTTTGCTATCTTTTTTTTTTCCTTTTCTTTCTTTCTTTCTGTCAGCGACATACACTGTTTTTGTTGGCGGAGGAAAATAAAATACTTAAATAATCTATTTTGTCACCTTTCTTCAACATGTTCTTACTCAGCATCGCTATTTTAACTGTTGTTGAACTGTTGTATAAAAGCAATATCACACTCCAGATCGTGATGTTGTACTGTGATATCGTCACGGCTGTGATTCGGTCGTAGGTACGAGGCCGAAGACAATCACAGCCGTGACAATATCACAGTACAACATCACTCCCTCTCATGTGATATTGCTTAACTGTCCCATTCATGACGACATGGTCACTTCTGAATCAAAAAACCCCAAGATGGTGATGGCTGAAATGCCGAACTCGAGGCTTTGACACAGGAGTCCACAAACCAATGGGTGACATCAGAGCAGCTACATCCATTATTTTTACAGACTATGAGTGCCACACATTACTGATGGCAAGGAGTAATTGGTTAAGTAATAATATTACTTTTTAAAAGAGATACAAGTAATGAATAATTAGCCCAACACTGTGTACCTTCATTTTCGTTAAAGTCTAAGGCTCTGATCACACAGAAAGTATTGTGCGGGTTGCAAAACACGAGGCGCACCACACTACCTTTTTTGTTTTTAAATTGAATGCCACCAGTAAAAAAAAAAAAAACACTTGCTGCACATTTTTATTGTTGCCAGGCAACCACCTTCCCTTGTAATCAATCTACCGTTTTTTAAATTTATTTCACAGTATCTAGTTCCTACAATGTTGAGGCAGAGGGTACTTGCTGTAGCTCTGGTTGAGGGTGAGAGGCTGTCAGCAGATAAACAGAGATCTGTGTGGGTACATGAGACCCTAAAACAGAGGCTGGATCATGGGGAGTACCACAAGTTGGTCCAGGAGCTTCAACACACTGATGGATGTTTCCAGGCATATTTTAGGAAGTCTCAGGGGCAGTTTAACCTGCTGTCTATCGTCAGGCCATATAGCTCTGAGTATCAGCAACTGCTGCCACCAGTTTCTCCTCCATTGTTTACCAACTGTAAAATTGTTGTCGTGACCACCACAGGTTTCATCTCAAATCATCCCACTGGACAATGAAAAAAGCAGAAATGACGTGGGGTGCATTTCCGCCCTGAGTTGAAGTTCTTTTAACTTCAAGAGTTCAGAGCACAAAGGCAAAAGCGCCAGGTGTCTAGAGCGGCTCGTAGCAACGCAAATACAGCCAGCAAAAAGCTTCAGTCTGATTAAAAACAATTTCAAAAAGCCGCCTCCAGCTGCTAAAACACTTTCTGTGTGCTGGAGGGCTTAAATGTCAAATATATTCAGTTAATAAAACAAAGAACAGCAGAAAATCCTCACGTTAGAGAAGCTGCAGCCAGAGAACGTAAGGTGTTTGTTACTTGAAAAAACCATCAATTAATCAATTATTCAACTAATTGTCTCCTGGAGTAATGACCCATATCTTGAAACAGATAGGGGACAGTTTTTTTAATATGTGCTCCCACCGTGTCTACCTGCTTTGTCCCACCTTGATCACACAATGGGGTCAGGGTCTTGGTTTCTGGCCCCTGCCCCTTCAGATGTCCGTGAACGCCACTGCGATAAAAGCTAACAGCTGTCAGCTAAGCTGTAATGTTACCTGTACAAAGGTGACAGTACCTGTATCTGATGACCGCACACACCGTTTCCGATCTGACATTAAGGCCTCATCATCATCATCATCATCATCATCATCATCATCATCATCATCATCATCATCACCATCTCCTCGCCGGGCTGTGTGTGGTGCTGCAGCTGATCAGCTGGAGCTGTTAGCCGCCTGCTGACTGGAGCTCTCCGACTGCAGCAGGGTGGATGAGGGCTAAGCTAACGGCTAAGCTAGCTAGCTACGAGCATCCGAGTCATACCTGACTCGAGTCCGCAGTCACATCGCGTGTCAAGCGAGCCGAATGTGCATAATGTCACTGGAGGTGTCAGATGGCATCATCATGAGCACTGTCGACTAGACAGAGCTCCATCATCATCATCATCATCATCTTCATCATCATCATCACGGGCTGTCTACTCTCCGTACTTCCTGCCGAGACGACGTAACAACGAGACGTGACGGACGTCAGCGGTGGAATTTAATCAACAGGTTCTTACGGCAGCAACATTATAGTTAATTAATCACTGTTTATCTCCACACAGAATTATTATTTAGAACAATACATTCATAACCAGAAAGAATAAATCAGTCTGCAACACTGAATTAACAGATATCATTTTTCATGCAGCAAATATAAAATCAATTTCTCACATCTAAAACATTTTCTTTCATTAATTAAGAATATCAAACAGTAAAGACTACTCCCAGTGAAATCATTCTGCTGGTGAAATGCCACCATGAGAGGCAAGAGTTACTAGAACTGGAGCCTACCCATTAATAGCTTGTTAAAAGTCACAAATGTAACAATAAACAGCTGACACAGTACCATGCATAGATCCATAGGCGTAGATTTTGTGGGGGACGCAGGGGGACACATCCCCCTCAATATTTAGAACATGTCCATTTGTCTCCGTACCTATGACGGAGTATTAGGGCCATATTGAAGATATTTTTTTTTTGTGGAGATTTCGAGAATAAAGTCATAATATTACAAGAAAAAACTTGTAATATTACGAGAATAAAGTCGCCCCGAGAAAAAGTCATAACATTACAAGAATAAAGTCATAATATTACGAGAATAAAGTCGCAACTGAGAAAAAGTCATAATATTTTGAGAATAAAGTCACAATTTAATAAGAAAAAAGTAATAATATTACGAGAATGAAGTCTTAATTTAATAAGAAAAAAGTAATAATGTTACGAGAATAAAGTCTTAATTTAATAAGAAAGAAGTAATAACCTTACGAGAATAAAGTCATAATATTACGAGAATAAAGTCGCCCCGAGAAAAAGTCATAACATTACAAGAATAAAGTCATAATATTACGAGAATAAAGTCGCAACTGAGAAAAAGTCATAATATTTTGAGAATGAAGTCACAGTTTAATAAGAAAAAAGTAATAATGTTACGAGAATAAAGTCTTAATTTAATAAGAAAAAAGTAATAACGTTACGAGAATAAAGTCATAATATTACGAGAAAAAATCGTAATATCACCAAATGTGTGTGTCGAGGCAACACACCTGAGACAAAGAGCAGCTGCCACAAGCAGGTTCATCCTCTAACCCATTCTGTTTGTTTTTGGTTATTTCCTTAAAAACTACAACTTTATTCTCGTAATATTATGAGTTTTTCTCAGTGTCTCAGTACACAGTAGGATTCTGGGGCGGGGGGAACAGACCTGTTTTTTTTTCAAGATATTTTTGGAGGCTTTTGGGCCTTTAATGACAGTCAGAAGTGCAGAAAGAGAAAGAGAGGGGACGACATGCAGCAAAGGGCCATGGACTGGAATGGAGCCCACAGCTGCTATGGCAAGGACATTGCCTTTGTACCTGGGTGCCCGTTCTACCCGCTGAGCTATTGGGCTCCCAAAAGAGATCATTTAGACACTTTAACCAATCATTCAATTTTGCTGGAAGCAAAGGATGTCATATTATACCATATAAATAAAAACAGTAAAAAAAATAAATAAATTTTAAAAGTATTTTGAGTCCACCTAAATTAAAGAGTAAGACATGTCACAAGACACAAGACAAAATCTGATTTACTGCATACCTTATCTATTATTGAGGATTTCTATAATGCAAAGGGCCACAGTGATGGAGCCAAAGATCGTCTGTGACTCACTATGTTTCACTCCTTACTCATCACTGGACCACCGTTTAAATCTATTTTAAGAAACATGAGTCAGTGTAAGTGCAGCCGAATCATTAATACATGCAGTTATGGAAAGCTACCAAGAACATTTACCACATGTACTGTAATTTTGAGGTACTTATAATTCAGTGGAGTATCTCCATTGTATGCTACTTTACATGTATATATCAGAGGGCAGTGAAGTACTCAGATCTTTTGCTTAGTAGCAATACAACAGTGTAAAAATACTCTGTTACAAGTAAAAGTCCTGCGTTCAAAGTCTTAAGTAAAAGTACAAAAGTATGAGCATCAAAATATACTAAAGCACCAAAAGTCAGTTCTCATAATGCAGAATGACCCGTTGATTTATATTTTGTATTAATAATCCAGTCTGCAAAGTAACTAAAGCTGTCAGTTGGATTTTCATCCGATTGATATTTTATATTGCGCTTGTTCCTACATTGCTCTGCAGCAGCTGCACAATAATCTTATCTTCATGACATAGCTGTTAAATTATGTGATGAATGTGTTTGGAAAGCAGGATATAATAAAGAGTGGATATATATAATTCATCTGGATAACTATCATCTAACTGTAAAACATGAGATCATCCAATGTTGTGTTGTCATGCAGGATGCCAGGGTTTCTTTTTGTGACCAACTGGTCTCAACTTTCACCACCAGATGTTGCTGTTGTCTTAGCTACTGTACATAGAGACATGACGTATGCACTACACATGGCAAAAAATAGACTTTTCACTGCATGTGTAAACACAGACAACGTTTATTTTTCATCCGTCTTCCATCTGCATTCCTGCTCATTCAGATATATTAGCATTTTTGCCTCTACAGCATGTATACAGTAACATAAGCACTGCATTTCATAGTGGTACTGCAACGTACATTTCCACAAAATATTACCGAGACTACACCAGCATAGTCGGTGCAAAACAAATATGACAAAAATCAACTGCTCATCAAGAGAAACAACGCTGCGACTTCAAGACCGACGATGATGCTAACTGATGATATGACACTCTTTATCCATACAATATACTGTAGCTGAATTCAAGTTTAAGTATGAAATATAATGGGAGTAAATGCATGCATTACATACACGGACGTGTATTTATGTAAAGTATTCCTTCAATACATCGATCATGTTGAACAAAACAAAGAAAACAAGTGCTTGGCATTTCATCCAAAAAGTTAACACTGTACAAAAGCAATGCTATATTTATACAGATGCATTTATAAGAGGAAGAGACCAGCAAATCCTCATTTCAAAATAAAAGGTTGATCTAAGAACAGCACAGGACTCTTGCAGGTATAATGCAGCTATTGTAAAAGTTGAACAATCATGAACAGCATCAAAAAATTGACATGACTTCTTCACTTTGATGCACTTCAAAGGTGAATTTCTCTGTGGAATAAAACAGTCATATTATGATAGTGAAAATATGCTTTTATTATCAGGTTTACTTGATGTTGGGCCCCAATTGTGACTTTCTATGGAAAGTGGCTGTTGCACTTTTCAAGTACATGTTTTTGCTCCTCTCCAGACGCTCACTGGCGGACTACCTGAAGGAGTGTCGGAAGTGCACGCTCCTTCGTTTCAGCTTCTCCGGGTTGTGGGATGCCATGTGAGAAAATTCTCGGAAGATGTCGAGGTATGTGGCGTCTCCTGATGAAGAAAACAAGAGAAAAATAACTGTGAAAACGACGCCACTTGAGCACTTTGAACAGTCAAAACATCTGTTATAAAATTTAAAAAAAAAAAATGAATACAAGCAATGAGAGGAAAGAGAGAGGGGAGGAGTTCTGTGTAAGAAAAAGGCCTCATGAATGGAGGAGCAAAAACAGGCTGAGGCACCACGAAGCTTCCTTCTTTCAACTTTCCAAATTCTGAGCCTTTACTTTTCTGGTGGCCATGGTAACGGCTGAATCCACACGCATAACAAAAGCAGTTGAACTCTTTTGTGTCCCATGAGAGCTCCCAGGCTTGGCTAATTAAAAAAAGGGGGAATGAACATTCCTGGCTTTCCATGTTTATGTGAGTGTGAGAAAGAGACGGAGAGATCACTGAGTGCAAGCCTCAGTGTAGATATGGCTTCCTGGTGACACTTTATTTTAATTCCCTATTCAGTATGTATAGGCAGTAGAGAAACAAACAATTTATATGTGGTTTAAAACACTTCATAATTTAGTTGTAAGTAGACACAAGTGTATTTTTAGTAGTGATTTTTCATGTATTTGTCAACAACTATAACGCCTCCTGTGACTCGTGTAACAGGTGGAAAGTTACTGAATACCAGATGTGGAAGAAGTGCTCAGATCATACCACAGTGTAGAAATACTCTTGTGATAGTAAAGCATGAATTCATCCATTTATTTAAAGCAGTGGTTCCCAAGGGGTGGGTCGTGGTCCAAAAGTGGGTCGCACGTCCATTCTGAATGGAACGCAAGTGACTCAAACATGTTTGTAAAAAACACACTTGACTTTTAGGGTGCTGTCACTCCTGCCCTGTTTGGTTAGATTCAGTCAAACCCAAGTTCATTTCCGCCAGTTCCCTAAGTGCGGTTCGTTTGGGCAGGTGTGAACAAAAACAACCAGACCGAGACCTTCTTGAAGAGGTGGTCTCGGTCTGGTTCCAAACAAACAATGGTGCGGTTGGTTTGTGGTGAGAAGGTGTTCCGACCTGGATCTGAACCAACTGCAGTCACATGACACATTGTTTGGGTTAAACATGAGCATGTTACAGTCCTGGAGGATTATTAATGTGCACCTCCTCCTGTACTGCCTTAATATGCACATTCAGCACATCCAATGCATAAAAACATTGTTTTCTAGTTGGAGCCGCGCCTCGTTTTCAAACTGTATGGTTTGACTAAAATGAACAATGACAGCAATATAGTCCACGATGAGCAGAGCTAAAATCAACCTGCGTAGTTGTCCCTCCATTGTGACATTAGAAAGTGTCACATTTATCTTGCAAGTGTACCCTTCTTCAACGTTTGCTTTACTTCCTGGATTTTTCCCCACATGGAAATTCTGACCAATCAAGAGAAGCTTTCTCACACAAGGCATTTGATCTGGTCCGCTTGTAAATGCTGCCGTGAGAACACGAACCAACTCTAGGCAATTATACAACTTTGGAACAAAATGAGTCCCTGATTCAGACCAGAGCACGAGAACTCTAGATCTGAAAGCACCCTAAAGTACAGTGAATTTCTGGAAAGTGTCGTTTCCTGCTGTAGTGTGAGTGACAAACGGACAGCTACTTGACAGAGACAGCAATCTAGCTCAGTGACATGGCCAAACAAAAGTAAGACGCTGAGTGTATTAAACTGTGTGGACTATAAACTAATGACTACAGTGAAATCTGGACCCCATGGCTGGCTCAGTTGAGAAGCACTGGGTTAAAGGAATACCTCACCCGCAACAAGAAAACAATGTTTTTCTAGCATGCTTCCACGGTGAATGAAGAATACAAATGAAATGAGTTAAATGGGGGCCACAACAGCAAAACCTTATCAAAACACCTTTATACAAACTTACACACAACCTGTGCAAAAAAATCCAAGTCTCATTTATCCAGTCGTATGCTCAATGCTTTCCAAACACATGCATTTTTGATAACACATTAAGATTTAAAACACGTCAGTACAAACACTCATGTAGCCTAAAGGACAGGCACATGTGTATGAATTCTACTCAAACGGAGCACTCAGTTGTTTTAAGTTGTAATGTTTTAGCAGCAATACACATTTAAGAAACACTGAACATCATCCTGAATATATAATAATGAATTTTACTGTGCGAGTTGTGTGATAGTTTGTAAACTGATGTTTTGATATTGTTTTGCTGTTGTTAAACGTGGACACCTACGACTTCAATAAATCAAGAAATTTCTCCATTTTGGGATTCTAGGTTTACCATGGAGGCAAGAAAAACATAAGTTTTCTTCAAGAATTCAAGGTAACACGTGGTGAATAACTGAAACACAAATGGTCATTTTAAGAGTGAAGTGTTCCTTTAAGTAAAAGTACAAAAGTATTAGCATCAAATATACTTAAAGTACCAAAAGTACTCACTGTGCAGAATGACCTATTTCAGATTATATTGTACAATTAGAATATGATTATGATGCACTAATTTAATGTTATTGACAACAAATATAAAAAGTATGACATATAAATAAACCATGCAAAGCCTTTTCATGTGTGCGTCATGTTGCAGGTGCTAAGGGAGGAGCCTGTTTTAACTTTTCTAAATGCTGCTGGGTAGCATGTAAAGTGTTTTCTTTATCTATACATCCTAATTTATTTGCTGATTATATTTTGTAACAACAACTAAATCCCCAAAGAAACTACTTACAAAAATCCTCAAATAACTGAATAATTGTAGTGAAGTAGCATTATTACTGTTCTTAAGTACAGTACTTGAGTGTATTTCTTGACCCCTGGCAAGTACATTTCCTTAATTACTGTACTTCAGTTTTGAAGTACTTGTCTTTTACTTGAGTATTTTCATTTTATGCTACTTAATTTTTCTACTCCACTGCAATCCATAAAGGAAATACTGTAATTTTTACCCCACTATATTGATCTGAAAGCTGAAGAACAAATTTAAGTCCCATTAGCCTCCGAGCTAACAAGCTAGCTAAGTCGCAGTTAGCAAAAGAGGGATTTTTTTTCTGGCCTTTAAAACATATAGCCTAATAGGCCTTTCTTAAATAATGCACATTCAAGAAAACACAATAGTCAGAAAGGGGTAAACGCAACAGTTTAGAGAGAACTGAAAGAAGCTCGAGCAGCTATGGTGACTAACTGGCGCTAACATGTTCCAAGCTAGCTAGCGTGTTAGCGGTTAGCTCTCCTTTGCCACTTTCTGATGCGATTGTGCCTTCATTTCATCATTTTCTGAGAGGTTTAGAATAAAAACCAACTAAATATTTTATTACAACTACATAGTTCATTAAAAACCATTCATTATTCCTACTGCTTATAAATGCTAGAAAAATCTTCATCTAAAACTTGACTGATAAATTCTCCCCATTCATATTTAAACAAGTTATTAATGTCAGATGTTAGAGGTTTGTTAATGCTGTTAGATGTAGTGAAAGCAAAGAAGAAAGAAGCAAAGAAACAAAGGGAGAGGTTAGATTTTAGTCACATCTTCCATTTATTTTCATTTGATAAGACACTGGGAGGAGTTATTGAACAAAAAAAGAGGGAGTTAAAACCAAACATAGGTAGTTAGTGTTAATATACACAGGTATATTCAGAGACACACGTTCTCTTACAATATTCAAAGAAATTGTACAGGTAACAGTCAGAGACAGGAAAAAATACAAGAGAGTTAAAAATTGCATGTTAGAAGCAAGCAGTTAAAGTGTTAATAGTTTTTAGTTTATATACACAACAGTCAACAGACACGTCGTAACTGTACAACACGTAATACTTCAATGGCTCGATGCAAATCATTGTTTGGTCAGTGATGACATCATCTAGTAAAATCTGCTTCCTGTTAACTTTCGTAAGTTACCACATTAAATACTGCACACGATAAGAAAAGGCTGGATTTTCAAAGTGCTTTGAATCTATCACTGATGAGCTGCTCTTTCTGGCGCCACCACGTAAACTAAGAAACACATATCACTGCTACAGGACTCCGACCTGTGCGTGACTTAAGTTAGGGACTGTATGAAAATTATTAGTGGGGCAGGTAGGGTCAGATAGGGGGGTTATACATTTCTTTAAAATTCATTTTAAAATAGCAAATTCAATTGAAATCACCAAGTTCAGTGGACTTACAGTGCATTTACAGAAATATTTTCACTTCAACTTTGGTTATAGTTTACTTTATTTAAGAAGGGACAGTGCAAAATAATAAACACACATGGTGAAAATGCCAGAATTAGGCAAAAGACTATTTTTCATCTATTTTGTGAACTTTAACCCGCAATTTTGCACCAGTGTAGAGTAGCAAGCTGTCCTGACCATGCAGATCATTGAGGGATCGAGACCCGCAGAGCTCAGAGTTCATTAGCTGTATTGCACCATCTATTTTTCTTTTATTACACTCTATAGGAATAACTGCTCTGTCAAATGGTTGGAGACAGTAATGAGACAAAAAAATGGTACAAATATGTCTTTGAATAAACTTTGTGAACTTACTGTCCCATTAGCGGCTGAGCTAACAAGCTTGCTAAGTGGTAGCTAGCAAGAGAGAGTTGTTTTTTCTAGTCTTTAATAAGTATAAGTTAATAGATTGTTATTAAATTAAATAATACACATCAAGAAAATCCTCAGAAAAGAGTAAATGCCACAGTTAAGAGAAAACAGCTGAAGCTCAAGGAGCTATTGTGGCTAACTGGTGCTAGCATGTTCCTAGCTAGCTAGATCGTGTGTTAGCGATTAGCTTTTCCTTGCCACTTTCTGCCTTAATTTCACCATTTTCTTGTGAGGTTAAGTGTAAAAAGAAACTTAATAGTTACATTAAAAAACAGTAGCTTAAATGTGGATCTGGATATTTAGGAGGGATTGATCCAGCACGCCATCTTCACAAGCCAACACAGGGCTCAACACTTAGCCTGCTTTTAAAAGTGGACGTCAGGCTGGCAACCAGGCATTAGCTTTTGGTTACCAAAACTGAAAATATGGTTGCCATCTGTAGTCACCTTACATTTTGAGCAGTAAAGATGTGTCACCTTCATAATGCAAATGTTTAAAAGCTTTACTGCATCATCAAACAAAATTATTTGTCAGTTCAATCCATTTGCTCATCTGTCTGTGACGCTAATCGGCTAGTCCAACTGCACCATCATTAGCTAGAGAGCTAGTTTTCATCAGTCGTCCATTTGCCTGATGTTAATAGGCGTCCCAGGATAATAAAAAATGGGTAAAGTAAAAAATATTACAGTGACTTGGATCACACCCAGCTTCATGGTCAGACATGTGCTCTGCTGCACCTGTAACCACGCCCAACAGTGATGTCACAGGGTCCTGGAGCACACCTGTACATCACTGCAGCAAGCCGAGAAGTTAAACCACTGGAGGTCTGCAGACACAAGATTTTCAGGGACTGTTCAATTAATTTTAGGCGTAAAATGAGGGGTGAGTTGAGAAATTTAGTGGGAGGGTTTTCTAAGTAAAGGAGAGGGTCCAGACTAAGGATTAATAGCCGAGGGCAGGGTCTTATAAAGTTGAGGCTCAGTCCTGCCATCTGAATAATTTTCATACAACCCCTTTGGATTCGTGGCTTATCATGGGACAGAAAATACTAACATAAAACACTTTCTGGCACTCTGAAAAAACTGTCTGTGGTCTTTGGTTTGATTAAACCCTAACAGTCCATAGCGTTTGTCAAAGACAAGCAACATCTTTGGGAAAAAATTTTTCCTTTAAGCTAATTTCGCCACATGTGAAAACAGCAGTTGTCAGTCTCATACTGTTCAGTGCTTTAACAAACAGTTTCTGGATTACTGCCGTTTACTGTGAGCAACCAGGGGAGTTAAACATACTCGTCAGACCTGACATCATTTTAGAGCACAAACGGGATCATTAAATACAGTTTTGGGCAGCAGCCATGTTCATTGTCATCAAGCCTTTTGCACTAACCAGCCAATGGAAGACGGTGAGGAAGCTGTGTTCAGTCTGTTTGCATCTATCTCTGTCATGACTGTCGCTCCATGCACTGCTGTCATGATTTGGCAGTATATAATATGGATATCAACATTATTCAACAATACTAAATGTCAAATATTCACATACACTGGGCACAGAAGTAAACAAAAAGCAACAGGGCTGAGGAAGACCTGGGCAACAGCCACCATGCACTATAAACAAAGACCAACTCTAATATAGTGATACATTAGAATACCATAAACAAACATTTTAACATATACAAATACTGTAAATACAGTACTACATGTTAGCGTGATTTATCAAAAAAGTGTCCGTCTTCCTCTGCAGCGTTTACTGCAGAATTACTCCACCACTGATTTTATATATTATGAAACTGTGGAGCACTGGCTCGTTCTCATCATGAGAATATAATACTGGTGCTATGTGTGTGAGTGCTCGGCAAAATAAAATCTAACAAAATATATCCAGCTTAAAAAAATACCATCTGCATTGTTGTCAAACATAATAGAAAAAATACTGATTATCTGTAGTGAAATAATCATTGCACTATTGCTCCGGACGTTTCGTCATAAATTAAAACAAAAGCATTCCAACTTATTCCGAAAAAAAAAAGAAAAATTAAAAAGGAAGGAAGGTTCGACGACATATGAGGAAAACAAATCACTGTTTGTAAGAAAAAAAGTGCATAATTCCGCTTTTAATTAAACGTAAAAGCTTTACTTGATCAATCTCTCGTTCAATACGGAGAAATGATTCTTCTTCTGTGATCATTTACTCTCAGTCACGGTTATCGCAGCCTCACAGTTTCCCCTCATGACCGTCACGGTTTAAATACAAGAGCTCCACCATTTTATCACAAATTAGTAAAAAAGAACAGCTCTGATTGGACTGACCATCAACAGGCAGGTTGAACTGGCTGCACCACCCTGTACAAGACAATTTGGTGTCATTCCCCGACTCATCTGTGCAATGAATACTGTGGAGAGTCACCAAGTGGGACGAGCCGCTGGTTCTGGAAGTCATTTTTCCCATTCTTTATATATATTTAAAAAAATATCTTTATACAATATCCTCTGTAGGTTTACTATGGAAAAGTATTTTAGGCCTAGGCATTAGGGGAAAAAAATGAGAGGAAGAAGATTAGTTTTAATTTAACATAAATAATATAATAATCATGAGCATAAAGTCTGAATGTAGAGAAGAAAAGTCAAACTTTCAGTGTTAGTGCCGGGCATAAGAAAAAAAAAATGAGGAAGAAGATTTTTTGCATTTCAAGAATTAACCCTTTGAAACTTGGAGTGACATCACTTTTCTTGTGCTGCTTCAGACACCTTTTACAAGTTTTAAACCTTTGAACGTTGAGCAAATTGGTGCGATTTTTTAAAAAAACATGGGGGAAAAAAAGGCAACGAGCAACTTGAGCAAATTGTCCCATAAACTGCAAAAAATAATAGGTTTAGAAAATTATTTAATAAATAAAAATTGCAGGAAAAAAGCTTGGGAAAAATTATATTTCTAATTATTATTATTATTATTATTATTATTATTATTATTATTATTACGTATTTAAAATTATGGTACAGAATCATTGTCATTTTTAACCACTTTTTCCAATTGTTTTCTTTGTTTGTTTGTTTGTTGTTGTTTTTCTGACTAATTTTATTGTTTTTAAATTTCTCTTTTTACTAATTTCTTGCACATTTTGGGGTCTTTTTTGTTGCTTATTGCCTTCTTCCCATGTTTTTGAAAGAAATCAAGCCAAGGTCTCAAAGGTTTAACTCCAAATGTCGAGAATAAAGTCAACTCCTCTGGTTTATCAAATTGACAACCGACACCCTTGCATCTGTCCGTGACCAACTATTTCAGTTTGCATTAATGTGGACGCCTCTTCTGAGTTTGTTTGGTTTCTTCTTCTGAAAATTTGGCACAATTTTTAACACAATCTCTTGAAAACCCTGCTAGTCATTACCACATCGTGTTTATGCACTGAAAGAGAAATAACCCTGTGTTACTGAAACCAATTCTGAAGTACAATTTCACCAAATCAACCACGCAAAGCATTTTGTTGAGGCAGCCATACACGCTAACGCTTGTAGTTTGATTTATTCTCAAAAATTCACCTTTACACTTTAATGTCGACTTTATTCTCAACATTTTGACTTTATTCTTGAAATGTTAAATAAATAAATACATTTCCTTTCTGACTTTAAAATCTTCAGCCTCTCATTTTCTCTCCATATGCCTGGCCCTCACACTCTGTCTTCATTAAGTTTTAATTATGTCTATTTCATTTCTAAGAAATCATGTTTTCTCCATCCTTTAGGGACAGTAGACAGCTCTGAATACTACAGTACCCATGAGCCTCGGCCGCTGTTGCCATGGTGAAGAACAGGTACCAGGTAGAAACACAAACCAGAGCGGGAGTGAATTCAAAGTGCTTTGTTGTTGAAGCTGGGGAGAAATTTAGTGCTATAGCTGTTTAATTTATCCAAAAGTGCCCAAGAAATTAAAAGTGCAAATTGTAAACTCTGAATGAAAGCTCTGTGATTGGATGTTTCCTGCCAAAATGCACCATGGGAGTCGTAGTTAACGCCAACCACAAAATCTTTACACACAGGATTGTACTTTCAACTTGATATCACATAAATAGATACTTATTTTAGTGCAGGTTTAAATCTTCTCTACTGGTGATTCAACCAGGAGATTTTCATGCCATAGAGGTGGTACCATTGTCTATGGGACTAATGAATGGGACTTTTACTTCCAGAACAAGGGGCACCCACCATACCTCCCCTCCACTTCGCACTATGACACAACAACTCAATCACAAGATGGAATTAAAAAACAGAAGTGTGGGGACAGATGAGCTGTGGCAGATCTTTGGTTCAGAGCACCCTGTACCCTAGAAAACCTCTAAATAAACGGGCAAAGCTGTTCCTGAACACACTGCCAACGCCTCCATCGGTGGTCTAGTGATTGCTTGATGATAGTGCTGCTGGATAATCTTAAAAAAAAAAAGAAAGGTGGCTAACCCTTTCCTGGCAGTGATTTCCAACTCTGCTGTGATTGGACTGATGAGCTCATCATCAGTCGGTCAGATCTGACATCATTGAAGGAGGTTAAAACTGAGTTCTCATGTGATCCTGAGTGAGGAGCTGACTGCTGGGGTGTGAAGTCAGCGGACTGTGCTGGGGAGAGGAGTTATTCTGATATATCTGATGTAGAGAAGAAGAAGTTAATCTGGTGATGAGGAAACAAGTGGAGGACACGAGCTCCAGCATGTCTCTCTCAGTCAGTCATACGTCTACTGGCACCCCCTGCACTGTAACCTGACTGGACTCTAGCACTCGGCTATGTTGAGACAGATAAACTCCTGAATGCATTTCTTATACTGCTGCTCAGTGGGGCTGCTGGTTGGGTATTGACCTGGCTGTCCGAACGGTCCCTCCGACTCCCGCATCTCCTCGTTCATCCTGGCCAGACGCAGCCTGGTGGAAAGAAGGAAGTAAAAAATCAATCAAAGCTGGAGAGCAAAACAAAAAAACTCAATGGAAAGTATTTATGTTAATGAACGTACAGTGTGACGATGTCTGCATTGGCTTGCTGTACAGCGATACTCAAAGGGTCCTGGCCATCCTCATCCTCGTCGTTCTGTGTAGCTCCTCGTTTTAGGAATAAACACACCTGCCTGAAAATACCAGAGAAACAATGATCAGTCACAGCAAATAATACAATTATTGCGACTAACAGAGCAGCTGCAGTCAATAGCATCATGCAGTAACATTGGTATTCTTATCCTAAATCTCTCTTCCTTTTTTCTCTCTGAGGTTTGTGCTCCAAGTTGGATTCACAAAACTGCACAAACTGGTTGTAAAGTTTCAGGCTGATAAATGTCACCTGTTCATGAAGAGGTGCACGTTTGTGAGATTTAATTGTTAGCATAATCATCAGAAGCCGATATTGGCTGATATCAATGACATGCTGATATTATCGTGCATCCCTAGCTTGTATGACTTTTCTTGCAGTAAGCATATTGTGTAGCCACCAGAGCATGTTTTATTGAAATGCAAACTTTTTGAGCTGTGGTTAGAAGTGCTACAAATGCAGTCCGCAGTGAGTACTTAACGCTCTGCTTCATGACTCACCCCGTGTGTCCCAGATATGTGGCGTGATGCAGGGGGCCCCTCCCTCTGGCGTCCCTCTGGTTGACGTCAGCAGCGTTCTGGAGCAGGAACTCGCAGGCGATCAACGAACCCTAAAATAAAGTAACAGTACAAGTTTGCTTGACAGCAGTACAGGTGTGCTTCACCTGCAAATAGTTATGACATTTTTTTTTTGGCCAGAACCTTATGATGTCACAATAAAGTTGACCTTTTGGATATAAAATGTTATCACTGAAATGAATTCTTGAGTTATGGCCAAAAATGTGTATCGTGAGGTCACAATGACCTTTGACCAGCAAATCCTAATCAGTTAATTTTTGAGTCCAAGTCGACCTTTGTGCCAAAATTGAGCATAGCGTTAGTTCAGGCAGAATATGATGTCAAGCTCAGCTCACATCCCAGCTACATCAGCTAATCTCAAACAGCCCAATCAACTGATGGAGCAGCTGATTGATGGAAGGGAGTCAGCTGATACTGAAGATCACATGATTCCTTTCTATGCAACCAATTGGCAAATCTCATTCAGGGCGCTCTATTTAAACTGCTCTGGCCTGCCTACTGTTGCTGCTTTCTCTGCAAGCTGCTTTGCAACCTGCTTCCAACCCAGCTCCTCCTTTTCATGCTGTGTCTGACTTATCAATGTAATTTTTGCTTGTCATTGATGCTGCTCTGTTCTGTTCCTGGGGGGTCTTTGCTGCTGCTCTTCCTTATAGGCGCATGGAAGGGCAGAGAGGTCTGCTCTCTCCACTTCAGGCTGTCTGCGTAGGCCGAGGAAAGGCAGAGAGGCCCCAGAACAGAGCCATACCACCAAATATAATACTGCAAATTGAAATAAAGTTTTATTTGACTAAAGAGGTCCCGACTGTAAAGAAACTTCCTCAAGATGTTCGGAGATATAGCATTCACCAGAATGACATGGATGGACACTTGAAAACCAGTGTTGTGGTTTTCAGGTTGGCCTCTTTGGCTCTTTGGCATCCCTCCAGATGAGGAGACTAAACCTAAAAATGGCCACTATTGGCACTAAATAAATATATTTTTCAGTCACAGTGTAACTTGTTTTTTGAGATAAAAAGGTAAAATAAAAGTATCCTACTGTCTTACAATAAGAATGTAGTGTTACACCAAATAGTTTTGATCACTTTGACAACAAAATTTGCATGAGGTATTTAATTAAACGCAGTACTCCAGTTATTAAGTACTGTACCTCCATAAAGCAGTGAATAGCAAGAGACAGAGTTTTTTTAAAAAATGGTACGATATCCTGCCTTTGGTCTCTAACATGGGTCAAGCTCCAAAGACACTCTCCAAAAAGATTCTGTGGAACTGGTAAATGTCAACGAACTTCGACCTCCATGCTCCCTTTCAATTGGTAACACAGGCTATCCATTTAAATTTTGAAGTCTCTAAACCCGAGATGAAATAACCTTCATACTTCATCGCTATGACATCATCAGAATTATTTTCACAGACCTGACAAAGCTCATCCAGACCCTCAGAGGACATTAACAACTGTTTTGTTCTATGAATAAAACATTAGAGATGCACTAACATGGTTCTTCCTATATGACTCATTTCTGGTACTGCAGTCAACTGACTCACCCCGATTACGGCCTGTATGAGGGGCGTCTTTCCTTCGTCCTCATCGTTGACCAAATTGACATCTGCCCCATGAGCCAGTGCTTCAGCCATGACGGGCAGGTTGCGGGCTTTCGAGGCTTTGAAAAGCAGCGCTCCGGGATGAAGGTCCCTGATGTCCTCCGGGTCTGACGTCTCCGGCTCAGCCTCCAACTCAGCTTCACCGCTTGAGTCCTCTGACACCTCACACTCTGAGGACAAGAAGAGGAGACTCATGTAACAGCAACAAATGATACACAAAATGTGTGTCACAGAGAGAAGCAAGTGTGTACTTGCATTAAAGGAAGCAAATTAAATTTACACTGTGCGTAACAGCTAAGAGACCATCTGTTACACCTCCTCTGGACTCACCCTCTGTGACGCTGTCCACAACTGAGCCAAACACCAGGATGTCCGTGCTGCCATCTGTGCTGCCTCCCAACCCGCTGTCGCTGCTTAAGCCTGCCGGACCGGGAGATGCCAGAACATGGACACATTAGTCACCGCTGTCTCTTTCTAGCTCATCAGTATTCTTTAAATGGCACAGAACCATGCCAACAAGTGCAAACACACCATAGTCTGGTACAGAAACACAAGTTTCAAGCATGTGATAGTCTCATAGTCAAAGCCCTGGGTATCTTGGAGTCACCTGTGAAGTTCATTGCAATTATTTGGAACACTGTCAAAATAGTGAGCCGCTTACTTCGAGGCCCAGATCCTGTGTCGAAGTAGGAGAAGAGAGAGTCCAGCTCATCGGGACAGAACAGGGAGTCTCGTCTGAACTTAGCAGCTGCTGTGAGAGAAACACAGGTGAAAGCATGTTGTGAGAAAACCAGAGAAAAGTCTTTTCTTAGAACAGAACAAAACCAAACGTTTGGTTCACCCTGTACATGCCACCCCTGGGACAGATAATACATCATCACATCTCTTCTCATAGCTTTGCAGATGATACACCGCTCTACCTGTCTCTTAAACCCTCTGACTTCTGTCCTTTAATAACACAGAGAAAGTCATACATGCTCTTGTAAGAAAATCAGACGCTGCGGTCTGTCACTTTAGTGTAATGGTAAGACATTAGAAGCACAAACAATGCAAACAATCCTTTCAGACAGAGATCCGCTGAAGTACCTGCGGAGAGGGTCGACGGGGAGATGCTTCCAGGCTCTTGCCGGTATCTTCGCCGTGTTTTTGGTACGGTGGTGGCGCTGTTGTGCCTCCGACACTTCTTCACGCTCCACCGCCGCTCCGACTTCCTCTCTCCATTGATGAGTATCTCCGTGGAGCCCAGCTTCTTCAGGAATTTCTTCTCTACGTACTTTGCTTTAATCCAGGCCTCCTTCTCCTGCCTGAAACGGACCACACAACAAATCAGAGACTTGCTCAAAAGTAACAGATTTAATTTGATCGGCTGTATTTAATGAATTCTTACCTTGAACTGGACGGTAACGGTTTCTTTAGACCTTGTTCTTGGTATGAACCTTCATAGATGTGGTTGATGACGCTGTTTCCAAGCTCACACATCAACTACAAAGTAAACAGACATGACATTTTTGTTGAGAGTTAGAGGAGGAGATCAATACAACTCTCACATCTGTCACATCAACTCTGGAGCTAACACAAGAAGATGTTTAGTTTATCTTAGCATTAGGACTGGGAAAACCTGCCTGGCTCTGTACGGAGGTTAAAAAATCTGTCCATCAGTACGCCTGCTGCAGGATGTGAGGAAAATCTGTGATGTGTGATAGCACTGTTCAATATTGCGATGACAATATGACTTGTGATAAATAACCAAATATTGAAGTGTGCCTATTAGTTATAAACTTCCTTTGTCTTTCTGCTTTAACAAGTACAGTGCCAACATCAACACCTCAGCGTTGCCAGGTGTACGATAATGATCGTATTCGTATGATAATTTGGCCCTCTGTACGATGTATGATCAATAATCCCAAAAAAAGGCCAAATGTACGATAATTTGATCATTTCGTGAATGTGTGGTTGTAACGAGTATGCCAGAATTTTTTTGTGAACCCTGAAGGCATCTGTTCGCATGTGACATGTTTCCAGCCAATCACGCTTTGCTTAGCATGAGATACGGGTGACATTTGTCTCAGAATGAGCATGATTAGCTGAATGGTCAGCTGCGCCCGCCCCACGAGACACTAGACTAGACGAGACTAAGTGAAGCCAGATTACTCTTTATTTTCTTGTCAGTTATCATGAATACGGTTTCTTTATGACAAAAAAGTAAACACTAGAGTGACTACCTTTGCCTGTAGCGCATCATTAGGCTTGTTATTATGGTTATGACGGGTGTATGATAATTTCCCTCAAAATACGATAATTTTGAGTCTCTGGTATGATAATCCTACATTTCCCACCTGGCAACGCTAGCACACCTGAATGCAACATAAAGTCCTGGTTTCTGAGTGTCAAACTCGGACACGGACAGACAGCACAGGGCAGAAGCAGTGTGACTGTAAATAATACCAAACTTAAGCCCCTTTCACACTGCCAGATTTTCCGCGAATGTTGGGCCGTTTGCCGGCAAGCTGCGAGCGTTTAGACACACAGAGGCGAATTGGCGAGTTGATCTGAGGTGCCCAATTTTCCGCCTCGTAGGGTAGACATATTGGTGGAACCCTTTCAGTTTAAACAGACCGAGGTGGCCTTCCGCAACGGGAGGGGCTGTTGAAGACTTGTGGGAGGAGCTGTTGATGAAGCCATATGTGCGAGCCACTGGCAGTGGATAAACAGGAAACAGCTGATAGCAGGAATTAGCGAGCAGCTAGTAGCAAGAAGGAAACGCAAACCTGAGAGACACTGTAAAGATGAGCAACTGAGGAGACAAAGCATTGCGCGCCCTCCTTGTCCTCGCAAACGAAGAGGCCATTAACCGTCAGATGACGGGGACGGTGAAGAACGCGCCGACTTACGAGAGAATCACCGAAGGACTGACCAGCCGCGGCTTCCCTCCCACGTCACTGTTCACGTCACACGCTGAGCTACACCCATTGCCCCAAAAAAGGCACATTCTGTAGGAACAAAAGTAGGCAGGCGGCATTTTGCCACACTCCCCGATTTTGTTTTTATACTGCCAATGCTGAACGAAGACTGATTGGACTTTCCTGCAAATTTACACAATTCTGCACAATGATATGACTATTTTCATACACACATTTACCCGCCAGTGTGGCAGATGTGTGGAATTCTGAAGCTGCTTTAGATCAAAGAATAACAGAAAGAGTTTCTAGAAGAGTGTCTAGGCGAAAGAGTTTCCAAGAACGTCCCACTGGTAGGAGGCCCTGGGGTAAACCAGAACACGCTGGAGTCTTTAAGAAACTCAAGCAAGTCCAGTTGCTTATGATACAGCACTTAAGATTACCATGACCTGGATGACTGAGAATGCTAACTGTTTCACCCTACTTCCAGTCTGCATGCTAAGCTAAGCTAAGCTAACTGTCTTCTGGCTGTAGCTTCATATGCAAATAAGGACACTGCAGAGACAAACTGTACCTTTAATAATTCTGGTTCCCATGAGTCCAGTGTGAGTGAGCGAACCTTCGAACAGTGAACTCCGAGACTCCTGCAACAAAAAACATATTTTAAGTTCATGTTCTGTAGTTTAACAATTTAGAGGTGAAAGTATGGAAATTCACTTTGTTATAAGGACGACAGATGGCGCCCAGCACCAGGAAACAAGAGGAGTTTATATTCTTTCAAAAGGAAAGTTTTACAAATGAATCATACACTGCAGTTGTGTGGTGACCTGGTCTGAATAGCTGCAAGGATCTAACATCACAAGAGTTTCATCCTGAGGGAAATGAGAGAAGCCGCTCCTAATGTCATGCAAATCACTACGTTCCACCAATGAAGCTGTCTGGTATCCAGGCAACCGAGGCACAGTAGAGAAAAAAAAAACACACTGATACTGTGTTTCTCCTTTTCGCCTGTTGCCCTGCATTGTAACAAGATGTCTGATCCCACTGTGAGAGGACGAGTCCCGAAAAGGAGCATGAATATTCAACAGGTGGTCACACACACACACAAACACACACACACGCGGATGAGGATTGTGATTACATCAGCAGTCATAATTGCAACTTCAAAATCACACACACAGCTCCTGAGGGATATTTTATTCCAGCCGGGAGCTTGAAAACAAACCTGCGTGAGTGTGATGTAACAGAACATGAGCTCCGGATGATGAGAGGACGTGTTTATCTGCAGCGTGATGCCTTCGCTCAACAGCATTACATCATGTTCACCAGGATCTGACACTGAATTAAACGATTCAACGGCTCGTTCACTGTGTGTGTGTCTCAGCACTGCGGCTCGTCTTTATCTTCTCACTTCGCCTCCCTCAATGAAAACTCTTGGTCAGAGACTGATCCAATACGCAACACACTTTAATCCCTTCAGCAGTGTGTGTGTGTGTGTGTGTGTGTATGTGGCAGAGCGTGCTCGGCGCCTTTAACAGCACAAAGTAAGGCCAAAGTAACAGACAGTTGGCACCACTTCCTGTCTGCAGTGCCAGTACGCACACAGCAACACTGGCAGAGGTGAAAGAAATATTCAGATCTTTTACTTTAAGTCCCCTCCACTCAAAAATGCCTTTTCTTCTGATTGTTACTTTACTTTAAAGGGACAGTTCACCCCAAAATCTCAAATATTTTTTGGGAAAAAACAGTCTTTCTGGTCTCTACCTGTGGATGCCAGAGCACTCGATGCACAGCAGGATGCCCAGGTTGATCGAGGCCCAGCGAGGGTCAGCCTGGCCGCAGTCACAGCACTGCTCGTTCCCCGGCAGACACTGGATCCGCTGCAGGATGGTCTCCCCTCGGACGCTGCGCTCCCGCGGCTCGCTGGCTGAGTCGATACTGCTTGTGGACGGAGAGGCCGTTCTGTCCAGATGCTGAACATAAACATACAAAATTAGCCATCCATTAGCATCACAATAAATTACATATCAAAAGACATTAAAAAATATATGAAGTTATACTATAAATTTAGCTTCAGACTTTTTAATCGCTGGATTTGTTTTACCTTCAGACAGAGCCAGGCTAGCTGTTTCCACCTGTTTCCAGTCTTTATGCTAAGCTAAGCTAAGCTAAGCTAACTATCTGCTGGTTGTAGTTTTATATCTACGATACAGATTAAAGACTGGTATGACTTTCTCATCTTAAACGCCAAACTGTTCCTTTAATGTTGTGCCTTATCTTGGTGAAGCTAATTTTATATTTAATCTATAACAATGCAGCATTTTAGGAGCATATATTTAATTTTAGGTGTGAAATTTAATCTGCAAAAAAAGCAGTAAAGCAGTAAAAGGTACAATATTTCCCTCTAAAATGTAAAAGTATCAAATAACATAAAATGGAAATATTCTAGTAACTAGTAACTCATACTTAAGTGAAATAAAATCTCCTACACAAACTCTAACACATATTTCTACCTGTGACTTACCTCTATGTAGTAGGTGTCTGGGCTCTCTCTGTAGGCTGAAGCGATGCTAGCTTGAACCGCCTGAATCCATGCTTGTCTCAGCTTCTCAGACTCAGCCTGAAGCATACAGCTCCTGTAAAACAGACAATCAAAGCTGTATTAGTATCATAAATCGTGACGTACCTTATGTACAGATCTGTAAACGTTAATGCTAATTCGCTAATTCTAATTCTAATCAAAGAAAAACAGGCATCAACAACCAAACGAGCAGCTCTGTGAGGCTGTACTAATGTGGCCCAAATCTGATTTATTTCCTCTCCTGTGACACAGATCTGATTCTTTCAGAGTAGTTTGGGCAAAGAAAGACATTTTTTCCAATCATGTGCTAACATGCTCACAATGACAATGCTAACGTGCTGATATTTTATATCTATTTGACCAATCATCCATCCATTTTTGTTTGCTTATCAGCAAAGCACCCCAGACATCCCTCTCCCTAGCAACTCTTCCTAGCTCCTCCTGGGGGACCCCAAGGTGTTCCCAGGCCAGACGAGATATGTAATCCCTCCAGCATGTTCTGGGTCTGCATCAGAGCCTCCTACAAGTGGGACGTGCTAGAACACCTCTAACAGGAGGCGCCCAGGAGGCATCCTGATCAGATGCCTGAATCACCTCAACTGACCCCTTTTGACACAAAGGAGCAGCGGCTCTACTCAGAGCTCCCTCCAGATGTCAGAGCTCCTCACCCTATCTCTAAGGCTGAGTCCAGCCACCCCACAGAGGAAACTCATTTCCGCTGCTTGTATCTGCGACCTCATTCTTTCAGTCACTACCCAGAGTTCATGACCATAGATGAGGGTTGGGACGTAGATGGACCAGTAAATCGAAAGCTTTGCTTTCTGGCTCAGCTCCCTCTTCACCACGACGCACCGGCGCAGCGCCCACATCACTTCAGAAGCTGCACCAAACCGCCGATCCATCTCACGCTCCATTCTACCCTCACTCGTGAATAAGACCCAGAGATACTTGAACTCCCTCGCTTGAGGCAGTAACTCTTCCCCCAACCCGGGAAAGGCAATCCACCGGTTTCCGGCAGAGAACCATGGCCTCAGATTTGGAGGAGCCTACTCCCATCCCAACCGACCAATCAACAGTATCCAATTGCGGACAAAGTTCTTCAAATTCCCAGTTCCATCCAAAACAAAAGAAATTCACTATAAAACAATGAATAATTTTTACCCTTCCAATGAATTTTTAAGACCAAGAATTTGGTTTGAGAACTACGAATGGGTTTTAAACTCCAAATGAGCAAATGACTTCTATAAAATAATCGGCAATGAATGAATATTTAAAATCGCTTATTCAGCCTTACTATGTCTTGTAGTTTTTGTTTATATTATGTTCAATAATTATTGATTTATGGTTGATTTAAAGTTTATTTAGCTAAATTTATTCTGTCTTGTGTCTTTTTTGTTTTGTTTGTTGTCTTTGTGTTTTGTATCTCTGATGTTGTGTCCAGTGCATCCTGGAAGATTATTTGATATTTGCCTTATGTTTGCAAATTACTTGTTCAAATAAAAAACTAAAAAAACAAACAAACAAAAAAAAAACGTGCTGATATTTAGCAGGTATAATGTTCACCATGTTCATCATCTAGTTGAACGTGTTAGCATGCTAACAATTGCTAATTAGTGCTAAACACAAAGTACAGTGGAGGCTGATGGGGATGTTTTAGTTTTGCAGGTCTTTGATCAAAAATGACGATTTAAAAGTTCGACCTGATGATGGCGCTGATGAAAAGTCAGAGGATCAATGCAGATATTAAAATCCATTCTGCATCAGAACCAAACTACACGTTAATTCCCCCAGTTAGTAAAGTCTTACTTGGAGGGCGAGACGACCTCGAAGCAGAACCTCCTCTCGATGTCCTCACACGGTTTCACAGAGCACAGCCGCAGGTCTTCCACCACCACCGTCAGAGAATCCTGCCAACACACAAACAACTTATCATTTCTCTGCTTATCAAACACAGCACAAACACAAAACAGCTGTTCCTCCTTGATAAGGCTTTTCTCCTCCTGGCAGCTGGCAGCTGGCAGCCTCGGAGTACCTGACCATGAGATATTCACACACACTGATGTCAAGCAGAGAATTTAAAATGACCTGAAAGCCGCACTGTGGGCTCCAGATTCAACGCTCAGATATCAGCACTGATCTCCTGACTCACAAACACTCACTCGGGTGAGTGATGATGGATTTCAGTGAAGATCACCATAACGGTAAAAACATTCCCCCATTAAGGTTGCACTTAACCTCTTAGAGCCCACTTTACCCCGGGGAAGCTGATAGCTCCAGGATATATGGACTTGCCTTGAGCTTCTTCTGATAGACCAGCTGACTGTTCTGTATGGAAAACCACCGCCTAGAGAGAGAGAGACAGATAAATAACTTATATCAGATGGATATCTTTATGATCTTTAAGGGTCAGCACACAAATCACAAACACTGAGTGGAATGGGTTTCGCTCCTGGTAATGCAATATCGTGACCATGTGAGATGAATTTATGATATTGCTTCACATCACGGCCTCACTAACCTCCTGAACCTGCCACACAGGGACAGAAACAGGCCCACAAATCTGGCTTATGACACAATTTTATACATATTACATATATCAATATATAATGACATCACTACTATACTGAAGTGATGTAAAATTCTATGTCTATATCATTATTTCATATTCTATACCATACTATCATTTCCATTTCTATAATAACAAATTTCATACAATGGTATTATCACTGTATAGCGAGAGTTTTTAGCCCCAAACTCGTCAACAGGAAGTATATTACACCACCAAAACTAACTAACTAACTACCTAGCCCATGTACAGGCAGCTATCACTGAATTACTTTCATATTGGAGCAAACTTAAATTTTAAATTATATCAGGTAGAATGCAGATTCACAAAAACTCACAGTCTTGGTACTACTGGATCTAAGCGCCGCCTTTGATACAGTAGAACACCACATTTTATTAAACAGACTCAGAAACCTGGTGGGCCTCTCTGGTACTGTTTTTAACTGGTTCAGCTCTTATCTCACAGATTGTTGTTTCTTTGTAAGTATGGATACATGTTCCTCCAGAACGCATGAAATTAGGTGTGGGGTGCCCCAAGGGTCAATTTTAGGTCCACTTCTTTTTAATCTATATATGCTTCCCCTTGGGGACGCCATCAGGAGGCACGGCATCAGCTTTCATAGTTATGCTGATGATACACAACTGTACATCGCCGTGTCTCTGATGACACAGGGCCAATTGATACCCTTTTAAACTGTATTTTAGATATCAAGTCATGGATGGCAGTGAATTTCCTGCAGCTCAACCAGGACAAAACAGAGGTTTTAATTATTGGTCCTGAAGGCAAGAGAATACAAGATTTTAAACCTTCACAATGTGTGAAGAACCTGGGCGTCATTTTTGACTCTGAGCTTAGTTTTATTCCACACATAAAAAATGTAACAAAGATAGATTTTTATCATCTTAAGAATATAGCCAGAGTCCGCCCGCTTCTCTCTCAGGCTCTGGCTCTCAGGAGGGGCGGGTTTTCAATATGTATGTAATATTTTTGTAGTATGTTTTTATTCTGTGAAGCACTTTGTGCTGCATTTTCAAGTGCTATACAAATAAAGTTTGATTTGATTTGATAAAAACATGATTATTCTCAAGGAAGATCTGGATGCACAAGGAGCGCATTTTTTTCTACGATTTCTATGCGGATTTATTGGTGTTTATTTGAATTCATATCTGAAATAGAGACATCCTCAAGAAGTGTAGGTCAGCCTGAATCTATGAATGTGTGCATCATGTGTCTGTGTTCAGATTTCACTGAGATATGACTCAGGGAACAAGTGCAATTTTTGACGCAGAAACGCAAAACAAAACCAGTTATAAAGAGTACGTAAAACAAACAAAATGCTACTAACAAAGTTTTACTTAATCATGCATACCTTTACCCAGATACTTAAACTTATATGTATAAAATTCACTTAAATAGTCATGGTGTCTACAGGTCTCACTTATATTTAAAGCTTTTTAAGACCTTTTTAAAGATGATTTTTAACCAAATTTAATTGAGATTTTTGCACAAATATATCTTTCTTATTCAAGCATTGCAGGTATGTATAAATATCAGCATGTGGTCCTGTGCAGAGGTAGGTTTTATGCAGAAATATGGTTATTAGAGAGTGTGAGGTTAACCTACATTTTGCAGGTAAGACAGGTAAGCACACTGTATTCAGTTCAGGTTCAGGTTTAAAAAATTTGTAACATCAGAAATGTGGACTTATTTTGACAAAAAGAAATTTAAAATATGAATAAATAAAATGAGATAAAAATGTTTCAGCCAATTCAGACCTCACAAATTCAAATTTAAGACTACTGAATAACTTTTATTTTTGTTGTTTTATATCTAACATGAAATCATGGCTATAATCATGTACCCATCACACATGAACTCAAACACTTGCTCTAACATTACGAAATATTGCTATATCTTAATGTTGAAGTTGTATTGTTGTTGTTGCGATGACTTGATGTTGTGTTGTCTTGCGGTTGTTACTGCTAACACAGTTGTGTCATGAATATGTTCTATTTTGTAACTGTGTTTTTTATATAATAGTGTCTTTTAGCAGAGACATTATTCTCTGTTTCCTGCCCCGGGACTTCAGATTAAAATGAGCTTGTAGCTAACTCTGGTGCAGCTAAGTAGCGGTGCACTGTTTCTGTTGAATAAATAAAAATAAATAAATAAAATCAGATTTAAAACATTTTAAGTCTTTAGAGCGCTGTAATGTATATTGTTTTTAGCTTTTTTCAAAATTTTCTTCTTATTTTTTTTAATTTAGCATATTTTTAAATTAAATCAATAAAGTCTTATTTTTCTATATTAATGAAAAAAATAAAAATAAAATAAAATTGGATTTAAGACATTTTAAGATGTTTTAACACCCTGATAATTTAGCTTTTTCCACAAACATCTCCCTAATTCTTCAATTTTACATATTTATTATTGAAGTCAGTAAGGTCTTATTTTATTTTATATTGTGTAAATGAGAAAGTTTCCCCCTTATTTTAGAGTTGCTAACTCTATATAACCTTATCCAACTTACATGGTACATTACAACATTATGCAATTCATTCACTGTCTACACTAAGTGATATAGTACAGTAGATAGAGAGATTTTTGCCATCTCAGTTACCTGTTCCAGGTCTTAAAGGCGTTGCTGGCCCTCTTGAACAAGTAGCCCTCCATCACCACACCATTAGGAGCATCTACGTTGAACTCCACCTTCGAGTCGTCATACGAAAAGTCCTGAAAGCAACCAGAAAGAGACACGTAAGACCCCAAATTAACCCTGACTGTCATACTAAAATGTTAACACACCAGCTGATTGTTGACTGGAAGTTGGACTAACCTTTTAATTACAAGAAATAAAACCCTTTCCTGCAGTAAAGCGCTGCATGCGTGCTGTTCCTGGAATACCAGTAGCATTGGATGTGCACTGTACTGTACATACAGTCCATTAACCAACCAAATCATCATACACTGTGCGACCATGTAGAAACACTCACGTGTTAGCCCATGTATGCATGGGAGCTGTATGCCATCTCCCTGCATGGCACATTGGGGCATTTCATAACTCAACAGATGTGAGAGTGTGACGCACATTATTACATAAACACAGTGTGATTCAATTGGAAATTAGCCTCCAACGTTTTCATGACTTATAACATGTAACACTTTAATGCCAAACAACAGGAAGTGGCACACAGGTATCAGAGCTTAGAGTCACTCCTAAATTGAAGGGTTTTCGGTGATCATGCGAAGGAAGTGGAGTGTGACACAGAACGTCTAATGAGCTACATTTAAGAGGTAATATAATATCCAGTACGGACAGAACATTAACTTATCTAAAATTGAATTTCACCATCACATGCATGCAGCCCTGAGAAAAGACCTGACTCTGTTTTTCCCCACCAGAGTCAATTTAGGCTGCGCGCTCAGACATAAAAAATACAAAACGAGCAGCCGAGAATATCTGAAAGTGTCTGCCGGGGTGACCCAAATAAAAACCGATCTTCATTCACTCTCTTGTTTCGTAACAGGGTGTGTGTACATGCAGCAGCTCCCAGCACTCCATTAACTACTTATTGCATGTTTGAATAATAGAACAACTCGCTGCTCTCTCCACTGTATCATCATTTCGACTTGTATACATACAAAAAAGGGGGGTGAATTCCAGCACACGTCGGAGGAACTTGTTTTAGCTTTGTGAAGCATTGAGTTTATATTGCTGTGCTAAAGTCACAATCAAAAGGCAGAAAAACCCTTAAAATGAGACAAAAGATACGTGTCAGAGACAGATGTATTTTGACTATAAAAGACTGGATGAGTAATGTAACTAAATAATTAAGACACAGGAGGCAATAAAGAGTCTTAAACTCATCACCAAACTGGTAATCTTCATAACCTTTAAAAATTTTGCAGGAATTCAACCTCTTTTCCCACATTACTGCATTTCACTATGCGCCTATCCACCAGTGTGCATTAGATAACGCTTATTTAACATGCACACGTACGTCATTGAGCATTACATCTGGGACCGGCACACATTTTCAGATTTTAATGAGAGCCTGAGTGAAAGTAGGGAGTCAGACATAAAGAGAGTAAAGTGACAGAAAGTGACAGTGATATTAAAGTTACAGCAGGACAGCTACTCTTGCTTTACAACAGCTCCATATCTCTCCAAATAAGCACAACGTCAGAGATAATCATTGCTTAAATAAGGTTAAATACTTTGAAAACCAAATGAGAACATGCGCTACAGTAACAAACAACCAACGTGATGCGAATCAACCCACCACACTGTGATCCCACCGGCAAAAGATCTTCATTTTCAGACGTTTGGTGTGCTCCAACAACATCAAAAAGCACAAAATATGATGAAAACTCTCTCAGAGCTGAAGCATGTCTGTCCTCACTCTCTCACAGCGCAGCATCGTGTCGCAGCAGCAGCAGAGTGCTGAGTAATTCCAACACTGACATGTGTGTCCTCCGCTACAGCCACCTGCCTGCCGTCCTGTGAGCCTCAGGATTAGGACTAATTACCATACAGCTGCCAGTGTAGCCGAGGCAGAGCTGTGGACTATGCTACCCTGTACTGTAGCTGCTGCTCTTGACCCAAAGACTGCCAGGTTGCTTTGACACTTTGGTGTCTGCTTCAGTTTTACAACTCCCTAAACACACCTCCCTCTCTGCAGAAGGTGGGAGTTTCAGCCCTCTGTTGACCCAGAGGGAATCTATCTGGCAGGCCGCCCAGTTCACCAAACAAATACAACTCAGGACTTGATTTACCACCGACACTTTACTCTCTACTGCAGTCCTTGCAAACACACACATCTGCACGAGGTGGATGCACCTTACCTTCAGCTGTCAGATCCCTCTCGTTTTTGGATACAACATCCCAAACACGGGAGGCAACACTGAAACAAGATGTGCACTGGGTGGAACTCTGCAATCTCTCAAGCCTACAACAAAGACCATCTATTTTTAATGATGCAACGTCACACAGACAGAAACCGAACATCTGTGAATTATTCAACAAGCTGGGAAAGAGACTTCCAAATGTTTGGAAGCAAGTAAAGCAAGTTGTTGTGTGTGTGTGTGTGTATGTGTGTGTGTGTGTGTGTGTGTGTGTGTGTGTGAAGCAGCAGAAACACAGGACGACGCAGACGACATGTCCTGATGCTTCATCCACCTGCTGCTGCTGCTGCTGCTGCTCTACGTACGTTGACCTAAAGGCTATCGCCGCGGAGCGCCAAATGGAGCCCAGTTGGTCGCACTGATTACTCCGCCTGCTCTCTTGTGTTTATTTATCTTCTGCAGGATCCTTCTGTGTCTCGTTATCACTACGAGCTCTCGCTACAAGCTTTCATCTGTCACAGACTGGCTTTACGCCTTCACCCCCAACATACCTGCCTGACATCTGCTTAGCCGTCTTTGACTAATCCTCAACAGACCTGGGCGACTTCAAGCTACAAAAACCGACCACCTCGCCACGAGACACTGATCACAAGAGACAATAACTAGTACATAGTCTTCTGTAACGCATTCATTGTGCCAGTGTGAAGGAAAGATAAACAGCAAACAGCCCAAACTGTGACTGCGATCAGACAGGCTCAAGTTAATGCTTAAATTAAATAATGAGATTGAGCAGCGGTCCTCGGGAGCACATGTTAACACAGATCAAGGCTACTCAAGCTCCTGACAGTCGTAAGAAAACTTTCATTCTGACACAGTTGTCTCTAATAAGGATCTGTGAATCCTCTAATGAGCTGAGTTTAAGTGCATCAGGGATGCTTAAAAAAACACTCGAGACGTGACGTTTGCCCCAGGGCTGAAACATCATGTGTTAGAGGTTCTGTGTGTGACACTCATTTGCTGTGTAAAGATATGGTGGAGAAATGGCATCCTGAGCAGAGCATGAAGTCACGTTCATTCTGTGTGTGTTGTAGTACGAGCTTCTCTGTGGTTTGTTGTGGTAAGCTGATGTTCTGTCCATATGTAATACCTATAGAGATGTGCCACTTAGCAGCTCTGTGTGCTCTCACAGTGTACGTGGAGTGAACAGTGGTGTAACAGAGAATGCTTCTGGAGTAGAAGCATTATTTTAAAGGGGATATTGGTCATCAAAATATGCTCCTCATGTTCTTTACGTACACCTACACTGCTTTGTAGTCATTCGAAAGGGAAGCTTGATTCTGCCATCGCTTTGGCCAATTTGACTTTGATTTACGCTTTGGTAGCATTTTTTTAACATTACCGCATAAACTGACAGACCACTGTTTGGGCTGCATGTGCATGATAGTGCATGTGTTGGTTAAAGTGGGATTTATAGTTGTGTGGCAGACCCTACGCCGCAGCCTACACATGTCACGTTTGCCGTTGTGAGCATTTATACTTGTGCGGTGGTGTGTCTGTGTCACTCTGCAGTTACACCTCCAAAACACTGGTTTAGTTGATTCAAAAACACACGTTAAACACACATTAAAAACACATTAAACACACATTAAACATGGCTTAATAGAAACAAATTCAAACACAAGAACACAAATCAGCTTCACAATAACTCGCAGCATTCACAGACAAACACTTGTCTTTATCTGGACACATTTTCCCCACAAATACAACATGCTAATGTTTTTAGCACAAGCCTATGGCATTTTCTATTGTATAAATTAGCCTAGCAGCTAGCAGACTTTTCCTCTACTCATATGAAGCCAGGGACAACAGCAACATTTAACAAAGGTAACGTTACAAAATTCGGCTATGTGTGCTTTGTTAGCATTTTTCAACAAGGCAGCATAAACTGATTTTGGCTGCATGTGCATGTTAGTGCATGTGTGTATCCCACTGTCTTGCTCATTGCTGCCGCTTTGCACTGCACTCGTGCAACAGTTACCACTGAATGTCGACAGTGTAGCCCCCACCCTCTGGTTCCCCCCTGGTTAACACAGTTAGCTCTGTCAGCACCGTTGCCGTTGCTAAGCCCTGTTTATGGAGTTAGAACCGTTAGCTGCTAGCCGGCAGCTCATCCATCTCTATGTTGAGAACCATGTGCAGACAACTCATACACTCTGAATTTTGCATCGAGCCCCTTTAACCCTTTCAAACCTGGAGCGACATGACTTTTCTAGAGCTGCTTTCAGACGGCTTTTATATGAAGTACTAAAACCTTTGAACTCTGAGCAGATTGGTGCGATTTATTTCAAAAACATGGAAAAAAAGGCAAAGAGCAACTTGGTAAGAAATGTCACACAAACTGCAAATAATAGTAATTATTATTATTTTTTAAAAATGGGGACAATGAAAAAAGCTATGGAAAAATAATATTTATAATTATTATTATTACATAATTAAAATTATTATAATTATTGTAATTTTAAAATACTTTTTTCTAATTTTCTTGTTTTTAATTTTTTTATTTTTTTTTTTACTAATTTCTTGCATATTTTTGGGAGTTTTTTCATTGCTTATTCCCTTCTTCTCAATGTTTTTGACAGAAATCAAGCCAACCTTCTCAGGTTTCAAAGGGTTTCAAAGGGTTAATGAATACATGTGTTAGGACCTATATTTGTCCGCACAGCCAGTGCTGCACCCTCCTGAATAATGAGAATACCTAAACACAGAGAGGCCAGACAACTTCTCAGGCAGCTTTTGCTTCTCCACAGGAAATTTCATGGCTAGTTTTAGAACAAATCGCTGCATCAATATTATTTTTCGGACTACTATCACATCATTTTGTTGGGGCTGCGATGATTAGTCAATGGACAAAAAATTTACCCCACAAGTATTTTGATAATGGATAAATCACTCCAGTCATTTTGAAACAAAAAAGCCAAATATTTGCTGTTTCCAATGAGAACTTTTCACTATTTTACAGACAAAATCATGAATCAGTTCATCAATGATAAAAACAGTTGTCAGATGCAGCCCTTAATCTCATTAAATCTGTGTATGTTTTGCTTTATGCTCTGCAGCCTGAAGCAGAGTGCTGCTGTCTATCATAAAAAGCACCACACAGACAAAAATATCCAACCGTTTTTTCCTCTGTGACATCTATCTGGAGTTTCAGGCAGTAAAAATAAATCCAGTGACGCAGGCGGGTGGCAGCATGTAGGGCTGCGCTGGTGATGTGAGTGTAGAAATATAGAACAGCAGGAGGAGCCAGCTGCCTTTGGACAGGACTTCTCCATTAAATCTGCCATTAAATATGAATGGCTCTGGCATTTAGATGCTTTTTGCTGCAGTGTGCGCCCGGCCAGCAGTACTGACAGTTGGAGCACTTTAACTCTCTTTCTGCTCGCCTCTTTCCTTTTTTTCTCTGCTTGTGCCGAGTAAAGTAAAGGCTGCCCCTTCGCCCTGTGTAAGTTTACAAAAGCCAGCTTATTGCACATGCTCGATGTGACGAGGAAGAAAAGAAACAGTGTAAAGAGAATAACAAACTAGGCCATGCTGTTCTGAGAAGAACACAAAATACAAGGATGTTCTACATTTCGGTGCATGAATAAATCGTATATCTCAAATCTTTTATGTAATATTTTAGGGTCAGAAAGAGTACATGTTGTGCATATAGAATGTAAACAATAACAGCATTAAAACATACTTCCGGTACAAAAGTAAAAGTAGTCATTTTGCAGAAAGGCCCATTTCAGAACAACTCAGAATCCAACAGCCAATTTAACAACCTAAGGTGCCTTGGTGTGATCCTTGATTCAGATCTGAGCTCCCAGTCCCACATTAACAAGGTGACGGAAACATCATTCTTCCACCTCAGAAAGATTGCTATGGTACGACCATTTCTAAATGGAGAAGATGCAGAACAAAACACCACTGAGAGACTTCAGCTCATTCAAAACTCTGCAGCTCGGCTACAAACCAGAACCAAGAGGAGAGAGCACATCAGGCCAGTCTGAGCTGCTCTGCAATGACTTCCTGTTGCATTTAGAGTTTATATTAAGCTCCTCCTTCTTGTATACAAAGGCCTACATGGGCTGGGGCAGAGCTACATTGCTAACTTGTTAACACTGCGATCATCTGCTGCTGGTTTATTGGAGGTTCCAGCAACAGCCGGACGAAGATCAGGGATGCAGCCAAAGCTATGGAACACACCTACCTGTAGATATCAGGGAAGCTAGCTCGCTAAATATTTTACTCTTCCTCCCTGCTGGATTATTACACTTGTCTTAATTGAGGAAAAGCTGCTAGCAAAGTTCCGCTAATTAAGTGATAAACACATTTAATTTCCTGTACATTCTTCACAGTAAAAGTCCCCTGTTATTTTGTTACGTAAAAACTTTTATTGTGAAGCAGCAAAATAAGGAAATGTTGACTTTTCGAGCAGCAACTTCACACAACTTCTACTACGGCGGATAGCAAACGTGAAACAGTAAAATAAAGCAGATATCTAAAGTAAAAACAGGACGCAGGAGAGAAACTAAAATCCAAACTACAGAGATTCAGTTAGAAGCTACAGACGTACAGAGAGCTGAACAGAGACTTTTAAAAAACGGCTCTCTCTCAGGTCTCCTGCAGACAGAGGGGAGGAGAGTATCACAACGCACATGGCTTGTTAGGGGGTGACCACTACCAACTTAAGGGCGGACGGCCCGGCTTCGGCGCAGCTTGGCATGGCACGGTGCATCTAAACTGATAATGGACATGCAAATGGGAGCCACATGGCTCGACTCAGTGCGGCCAAAAGTAAAGGTGGAAAAGGCCCATAAACCCATACTAATGTATCATAATTCACAGGTTGATTTACGTTCTCTGTAGAAGTATAAACTAACATAAAACGGAAATACTCAAGTACAAGGTTACAGTACTTGAGTAAATGTGCTACTACCACTGACAATAGGTGATGTAACAGACAGTCTCTATACAGGTCGCTCAGACTGAGCTCTGCGTTTCTAATTGTTTTGTATAAATGATTCAGGATGCTCCTCAGCTTGCCCTCGAGGCTTCTGAAGTCTGACTGCAGTTTGAAGGAAACTTCAAAGGGCTTTGTTAATGTCCCGCGCTAACACTGTGAGCTACACTGCTCCCTCCCCTCGCTGCGACACACTCAACCAAAGATGTGTGTGAAGGGAAAACGAAAACACAGACAGGAGAATAAATGAAGGAGCACTCACCTGCATGAGGGTCTGAGAGGAGATGGAGGCATTGGGATCACACGTGGAGAAGGAAAGAAAATACAGCGTTAGAACCACCAGACTGGTTTAGGTGGGGATAATACAGTAATCTTACAGTTTCAAAGCACCTCTGATTGTCCTCCTTACTGGTCGTCCTGCAGTGAAGCTACACACAGAAAACCATCACCACCACCACCACAGTGTTTTCATGCCCTGCAGATTTTAATGTAGCTTTGACTCCCTGACCTTGTTTATTTACTACTACAGTACTCGCCCCTCAGTGATGGATGCTGCATGGAGCTTAGTGTCTAACAGCTCTGGCGAAAACAGATCAATAACTGGCCCCACATGTGACCCAGCCCTTCCCCGTGGCTCTAACCACAGTGCCAGGAGGGAGAGCGCTGACCGGAGCTGTCTGACAGATGGTCACTGATCCCGGGGTACAGAGGAGCCAGACGAGGGCCCGCTGCAAATAAGGCTTTATGAATTATTAAATAAATCAGTAGGATTCATCCTCTGGGGACCACGACTGTCTGTAAGAAAATCATATCAATCCAATTAATAGTTTTCAAGATATTTCAGTCTGGACCAAAGTGGTGACAGACTGACGCCATCCATAGGGCGACGCCATCAGTGAGGCCAGTCCCTCCAGTCAGCACTTTACTGGACTAAGAGCACATTCAGACTGCTGCTCCGACATCAGCGCAAACACAAGCTAATGTGCTGACCATCTACAGCAGACAACAGTGGGATTAATATCTCTTAAAAACACTTAAATCAGCGCCTGGACGTTGTTAGGGGGATTAATCAAACACTTCCCAGCTGCCCGCGTCTAATCCCTCCCCAGTCACAACAGATGCACTGGGCCAAGTGGCAGACTGGATCCTGGAGGTGAGATGTGAGCACATTAACGCCCTGATGGATTCTCAGAGCAGACAAAAGACAGTAAGGGTCAAAAACCTGTCTTTGTGTAGAACTTCAAACCGTCCAGATCCTTTACTCACAGGGAAATACAGGAGACAAACAAACATGAAAGAGTTTGTGCTCTTGAGTCCAGAGTTTTTGAAGAAGTAGTGTCAGATGTGTGGCCGTGATAAACACTAACATCTCAAAGGGCAAACTCTATAAGAGGCTCCATACAAGTTGACTGAAACCGAAGAGCCCCCTCCAATCTTTTGACATTTTGCCAAAGAGTTAAAACTCAAGGACCACTCGTAGTATGAGAACAACTTTTGATATTAAACACATTTAACAATAAAAGGGATGGTGCAGTAATTTGCATTGTCGCCTCACAGCAAGAGAGCTCCTGGTTTGAGTTTGCATGTTCTCCCCGTGTCAGCGTGGGTTTTCTCCAGGTGCTCCAGCTTCCTCCCACAGTCCAAAGACATGCAGGTTGATTGGTAACTCTAAATTTCCTGTAGGTGTGAACTGTTGTCTGTAGTGCGGTGACCTGTCCAGGGTGTGCCCTGCCTCTCGCCCAATATCAGCTGGGACAGGCTCCAGCCCCCCCACGACCCCCAACAGGATAAGCGGTTATGGAAACTGAGTGAAGGGATAACAATGAAAGGGTAACTTCGGTATTTTTCCACCTGAACCCTTTTTTTCCCATGTTTTTGTGTCTAAATATCTCACGGAGACAACTATTTTTGAAACTGGTACAATATTGAGAGAGGTCGCTGCAGCTGGCAGTAGTGAAACAGGCTGCAATGTGCCTGTTTTTGCCACTGACAGGCTCGGATCATTATTATGAGTGACTGAAAACACTATGGACAGGACCTCACAGAGAAATGAAACATTTTTCTTTACCAGTCGGTTGATGAGATCGGTTTGTTATTGTGACCAAGTATTGCTAACGAGAAGTCTGAAAACATAACTGAGAGTTAGAGGGAAAAGTGCCAGAAAGAGTTTGTTATGTTGGAGTACAGATAGTGTGTCTTCCTCTTCTCAGTTTCGCTGGTGTCGGCTGCAGCGCTCTCTCTCAATACTGGACCAGTTTCAAAACTTGGTGCTGTCATGAATCACTTTGACCGAAAACATAAGAGAAGAGGGTCCAAAGTTTCCCTTTAACTAAGGTGTTCTGCATTCTGCTAAGCGATACTGGAGTTTTATTTCTTCCAATTTTTCCCCATCTCCGTACATGTTAAAAGTAGGTAATGTTGTACTGGAAATCCCTACTCTTCTTCAAAGAAAATACTGAAGCCATATCAGGATTCTCTGTTTAAATCTAAGCCCTTTTAAGACCTTTAAAACACCACAAAAAAAAATACAATATATTACCCATTTCAAACCGGCAACAGTGCAAAAGTACAATGGAAAACCAGTTGGAACAATATGGCCCTAGAATTATTTATTATTTATTGCTATTTTTCTCAGTATGTAAAAGGTTTTTTTGGCTAAAATCTTCACTCGCACATTTTGAGTCGATGAGCTTCCTAACTACTTTAGTCACCGTAGTGACCATGTTTTCTGCAGATTTGATGTCGCTGCCCGAAACACCACTAAAAAGGAATGAACAGCTTCCTGTCACAGAATCCACTGACGCAACAATCCCACTTTTAGTTTATGGGTGTGCAACAGCTGCAACAGTGTAGAGCTATTTATCAGCCTGGATAGTTTTGGTGTGAGTTGCCGAGTGTTGGAGATATCGGCCGTAGAGATGTCTGCCTTCTCTCCAAAATAATGTACTGTAACTAGATGGCACTCAGCTTGTGGTGCTCAAAATGCCAATAAATAAATAAATAAATAAAATCAACATATAGGAGCTATTTTCTTTCTACCAAACTACACCTGCCAACCGTATCACTCCACAGAAGGAAGTGTGTATCTACTCATGAACGAGAGGCTCTGACTCGTAACAGCGCAAGATATAAACATTAATGGTGTCTTTCTCGGCTGAGCTGTAACGTTAGCTAGCTAGGTTGTGCTCGGTGAGCCAGCAGTAGATGAACGCTTCCTTCTGTGCAGTGATACAGTTGGCGGGTGTAATTTGGCAGCAAGAAAATAGTTCCTACATGAAACTGCTCACAACAAGGTCTGTGGATTATCTTGAGTAACCAGGTCATGATTTCTGCAAAGAGACATTGCTGTTGAGTTTTTCAAATATAGTTTTTTACTGCTCTGAGCACCACAAGCTGAGTGCCATCTATTTCTATTACATTTGAGAGAAGGCAGACATCTCTAGGGTCGATATCTCAACATTTGGTAACGCACACTGATAAACAGCACTACAGGTAAGAGGAGAGGTATGTATTCTTGATTTTAGGGTGCACTGTCCCTTTAAGAACTGCAGATAATTTGCATATTTTGGTATAATTTTCCGACAATTTTTATTTGGTTGATCCAAAGCAAACAGGAACTCACCCTCTGCTGAATGGTCGCATGTTTATGCTCCATTTCCCTCTTCTCCATGGCCGAATCAATCACCAGCTGATCCAGCTGACAGTCCATTCACAGAAAGAAAAACAAGTTCAGTGTTTCTATTCAGCCAAACTTAGATCCTGTGTCACTCTCCATTATGTAGTGAGGTAATTCTGACATATATAGCAGCAGTAAAGACACAGTCAGAGAGGTGACGGGTGATTCAGAGAAGCTGACTGTAACAGTTTTCTCTTGCAAACACAGGCTAAGCCTCCAATGACATGTTAGGTCAGAGTTTGGTAATGAAGCATCGATTCTCCGGCAGCAGACGACCTGCTGGGACAAACAGCTCCCTCCACAATAACACGTATATCCAACAGTTAAAATATGGGCTTGAACTGTAACTGAGCCTTTTACTGCATGTGGAGAGGAAGCTTTATACTCGCTTCAATGCACCCGATATCAAATTTAAAAAAATCCAACGTATGAATGAACAAGTGGAAATTCACAGGGTAGGATTACATAACTGCCTCGTCGATCGTTCAAATGAGGATCAAACTGGTTCACATCCAGACGGAGCGCCTGGGGATGTGACACAGATCAGCTGAGTGGTGATGAAGATGCTTTGCTCACCTCAGCAGCCAGTTTCTTCATGTACGGGTCGATCTCATCCAGCAGGTTGTAGCCCTGCTGGAACAGCGAGTACTGGGCGTGCATGAAGGACAGCATCTGGGTGGGACAGAGGACAGCTGTCTTTGTATGTGAAATATAACCTAAAGACAAAGCAGGTGTTTGTGTGTCTGTGTTGACTTACAGCATCTAGGATCTCAAATTTCTTCTTGGCCTGGAGGACATTAATCTGCAGAGAGAGACACAATATTTTAATGTAAATAACAAATTAGACTCTCTGCGGTATTGATTATTGTTTTGATGGTTTCCTCAACAATACACCACATTTAACACCAACAGGCCACTGATATAACTCCATCTAGTGGACAATACTTTACTTTTCTTACTGTAACACCATCAACATTAAAAGACAAGCCCTGCACTTGATCAATGCACAAAGCTTTGAGCTGCCGTAACATTCACCCAGGGTTAAGACAAGTAGAGTCTTAAAAAACAGAGTAAAGATAGAGTGCATATGTGATTTGTTCTGTCTCATACAGTTCCCATATTTTTTTAATCCAGATGTCGTACGTTGGAGGTTCAGGATTCAACCATCTTACTGTGATACATTCAATTATACCCTTCAGGGATTGCTCCAAGGAGAATCACCTTGGATCTTTGGGGGTATTTTGATGGAACACTGCTCTCAGAGTGTCTAGCACATCCTTCCAAAACCTTTTGCACCCATTTTGTAGGAAAAACACCTAAAATGACATACCCAAATCAAAATGATTGTAGCTTCTGAGCCGCTCTGACTACATGCATGCATGAGGTTTTTCCAGAAAGAAAACTCCATGAGGTTTCTTGTGAAAGTGTCAGAAATACTCTTGGTGATACAGAGACAGAGTAATGGGCATTTGAAGTCAGTAAAAAATTGAAGATTTTGGTCCGTCTAAAACAAAAAATGTGTTTCAGGATGAATAATTGTCTGTGGCTTCATCTGAGCAGGTAAATGACACTGTGGGGCTGTAGGCGCACTATCAATGAACACTTGTTTCAAATTTGAAGGAGAAAGCACAAAGTATGACCATTCTAGAGTGAATTTTCCATGAAAAGATCCAGGCGGAGCTCCAAAAGATAAGTCAGTCTCTCGGCTTCAAAACAGTACTATCAGTGATCGAACAACACTCAGCCAGCTTCAAACATTGTACCGTATTGATATCAGGCGTGATTGTGATAGCTGATGTTGTTTTTGACACAGAAACACCATAGAACATCACCAGAATAAAGCCATATGAAACATGAAAGTTATGATATCACTTTGTAGACGCCGTATCTCATCTCGTAATCCTGTAACTTTTCCCATCGAAAAACGGCATGACATGACTTGATACCGCTCATTGTGATTTTTGACTATGTGCGTTTAGGCTGCTCTGGTGCGAAATACACAAGAAATAAAAGAAAAACGAAGTTATATTTGAAAAGCCGAGAGCTTCCTGAATCCGGCAATACCAAACATCACATGGTTTGATGACGTAGTGCGCCTGGGAGATACCATTTAACAGAGGAGGAGGGGAGCGAGGACGTCAGTGTCCTCGTGGAGTTAGTGAGGTTAACTTAATGACTTTGAAAATACAGCTCTGTTTGATCAAATAGTACAACAACATTAGAGTGACAAAATGATCACAGTACCCTGAAACCCCGTCAGCCTGCTGAGGGTTAATGACGCACACTTGTTAGCCTGTTCCAATGTGTGTTCACTGAATGCTAGGAAGGACTTTCGCCTTGCCTCTGCAGGATCCTTCCTTGGGAGGACTCATCCTCCCAAGGAAGGATCCTTGACTTTGAGGAAACACCCAATGAGTGGGGCGGAGCTGTACGGAGAGTGTCAGAGATAACGATATAAACCGTATTGTCTAAATCTAGTTGTTATGTCTCCCAGCCCTATTTGAAACCATTTTCTATTAACCAAAACGTACTTGAAAGGCAGCTAAGTAACTCCCCTTCCTAGGAGCTCACACACCTGAAAAGGCGGAAGTTGATTGGAGTCGAAGCTGGCTGCTGGAGAGGCAGACAGATGGCCATGCCACATTTCGGCAGAAGATTCCGACAGACATTCAGAAATTCGGAGACATTCGGAGACAAAATCCGCCGATCCGGGAACGCCACTACACACCTCACCTTATCTGGGGTCGTGTTCAACAACGCTGCTTGTGCTGGTAACTGTAACCTTTAACTAAGCTTCGTTATTTCCCTGCAGTGTGCAGTTGGACTTGAACGCATGCCTCACTTACCTAATGTGTGTAGATCTCTGAGCTGTCTAGGGGGTAAATGGGTTACTCACCCTTCATCAGACCCGACCACTACTGTAGGCAGCCACCCCGACCCGACGCTTCGGGCGTCCCCTCCGGTCGATGGCCAGGCTGGGCCAGCACAAGCAGCGTTGTTGTGATTTTAGTTCATAGGGGGGGTTGAACGCGACCCCAGATAAGGTGAGGTGGGTAGTGGAGTTCCTGGATCGGCGGATTATGTCTCAAGATTTCTGAATGTCTGTCGGAATCTTCTGCCGAAATGTGGAGTGGCCGTCTGTCGGCGTCTTTAAAGACCAGTGGCTAACAGATGCTTGTTCAGACCAAAGATCTGCAACGAGACGAAACTGTTTTAGGACGCAGCACAGCGGTGTGGACTGTCCGGACTGAGCTCGACTCAAGATGGCTGATGGTGTCAGCTGCAGCTCAGCTGGTCAAATTTCCAGCGGCTGGTTTTAGAACGTTTAGCATGTCAGCTTTAACAGCCAATGGGCTTGTAGTGAAGTTCACTGGTTGCTGCAGCAGGCGCTCTGTGCACTCAGCCCTCTGTTTCCATCCTCACGGCGTGCCGGTGTCGGATGGTAGGTCGCTGCTGCTGCTGCTGCTGCTGCTTGTTGTGTGTGCTCATGCATTTGACTGGGATGAGGTGACGTTTCTGGTGCCAACTAGCAATGGTAGCAATGTTTAATCCGCTAGTTGACCAATCGTGCACATCACTAGCTTTTACATTGATGCATCAGTAATAATAATCTAATGATACAATAAATAATGGCTACATTCTCCTGATTTTATTAACATACTTTCACTTGAGTATATTGGTAGTCATGAAAAGGATCTGATTACTTCCTCCACCAACAATAAAGGCAACAAAACACACTCTCATACACAAACAGAGTCCCTGTGGCTTTGTACATCTTAACCGATGCAAACCTAAATACCATTTTGTGCTACATTTAAGAGGTCACTCGCACATATAGCGCGTCTCCCTACAGCTTTGACCTTTTCCGCCTTGAGACACTTTCAATTAAGACTCAAAAGGGTAACATGTCTGAGAGCAGTGAGAGAAAGCTGCCAGCAGACAGAGTGAAGAATGGAAAAGAGGGCACGGCCATCACAGCGATCACACTGAATCAGTCTCTTTGTTGCCCCGCGGGCCGCCGTGGGCAGGAGGTTACAACTTGTGGGCAAAATAAACTGCACGCTGCATATGAAGAGAGGGGAGGATGTGTCACAGAGGAGGAAGGACGGATGCAGACGTCGCTGGAGGCTGAAAACGTCACGGTCATTGTGACTGGAATGTGAATACGTTACAGTGTCGTCTGAAGAGATTCAAGGAGCGTCCAAATATACACACACTGTTACAATGACTCTTTACAGTGGGATCAATATTCTCCAATCTCCATTTAGAATTAATAAATAAATGTAGGAAGCAAACATATTCTCAAATGAGTCATTTTTCTAACCTGTAGTACGTAGTCCAGAGCGAGGTGTCGGAAGCACTTGCGAGTGATGCTGAGTGTGCCGGCTGCTTCCTCCACCTCGTGAGGTTTGTTCCTCGGCGCCTGAGCGTTCTTCACCTGCGCTATCTCCATGTCCTCTCGCACCCTGTCGAAGTGCTTCTTGGTCTCCTTGAACTTGCGAACATCCCTGTCGGACACAAAATTAAAGTGAGACATGAGTAACTTTAAACAAACTCCAGCCCAGCTCAGGAGAAAGCAGCATCACAGATCTCTGGGTATTCACAGAGTCAGCGTGAGGTCACAGGTGACCTACTTCTGCTGCACGGTGCATGATACGTCTGTGACAACCTGCAGAGGGTTGTTCTGTGTTTAATATTTAAAAACTCCAAAAAAGTTTTTGGGGGCAACAAGGGTGCGTCTGCTCTTTAAAGACTGTTTCTACCTGTGTTGAATCTTTTATACATCTTAAAGTTCTGCAGGGACACCTGACTGAAGTGTGGTGAGCTGAGGGTTTACTCACTCTTTCACAAAGTTGTGCAACTGCTGCTTCACAGAGCGCTGAGCCTGATCGAACAGGATCTGAAACAGATGGAAAGAAGAGGTTAGTGGTTCTTGATTCTTCGTACACCTGGAGTTAAAAAGCATGGCCAAAATGTTCAAACTACTACTGACGTAGAGCTGTTATTACTGTGTCACTAACCATTCGAAGAATTGGTTTCAATATCAAAACTAGTGCTGAAATGATTAGTCAGTTACTCAGTGTGTCAATCAATGGCAAATTCGATGTAAACTGATTTGATAACAGATTAATAGACAGATTTAATGCAAGTGATTTATCAAATACGACCTGTGCCAGCTTCTCAGTGCTGCTTTTTTTTGTCTTATTGGATAGAAAACTAAATCTCAATAGGGTGACTTTTGGTCCGAAAAATAAATAAATAAATAAATAAATAAATAAATAACAGTAATACATACATAAAAAAAAATAAAAAATAAAATAAATGAAAAAATAAAATAAAGTAAAATAAAGTGATATAAAATAAGATAAAACAAAATAAAATAAGATAAAATAAAAAATAAATTAAAATAAAATAATATAAGACAAAATAAAATAAAGTAAAATAAAGTGAATAAAATAAAATAAAATAAAAATAAATAAGTTAAAATGAAATAAGATAAGAAAATAAAATAAAATAAAACAAGCAAATTGAAGACGTAGTCTTTGGTTGTAGGAAGTTATGATGGGGCATTTTTCACAATTTTCTGACATTTTACAGAGGAAAAAAATCATATATTAATTGTGAAAATAACTGCAGATTTACAAAAATGAAAATAATTTTATCAATAATTAATTCATAATTAAAATTTGCTGACAACTCTGTAATAATTCGTCTCCTCCATGCTGATGAAAACAGCCATGGACCTGTAGTTGATGAATTTGTAGGTTGGTGTGACAATGCATTTCTTCATCTAAATGTACAAAAAACTAAGGACGTGTATTGATGTCAGGCATTAACCCTCAACCTCTCAAAAAAACACATCATTAAGGAACAGGTGGTTGACTCTGTGGAAAACCAGCAATTCATGTCCCTCAGTGGGGAACATGATACTGAGGCCTTTATCACCAGCATCACACATGCAGTCCATTTGAGTCCTGATCTGTTAAAAAACACATCCTGGGGTTTCTAGTGATGTAACACACACGTGAAGGAGTGACCTGCTGAACATATCTTTTGTCTTTTCAAATGGCAGCGAACAAGTTTATGGCACGAAGGAAATTTAGTGATCATATTTATAAAGAGATATTGTTTCTGTTCCTCATGATGATGATTATGATCTTTTATGAGAGTCTTAACTATATTATATTACATTTTTGGAAGTGTATGTTCATTTTAAGCCGTTCAAAGTACACATTTTAACCCATGTCCTCTTTCGGGGACAGTGGGACCTGCTTCTTTTCATTTTCCATACTTCAGGAAACAGCACTGAGGCCACTGAGTCAGAAAAGATTTTGTTAAAAATTATTGAGGAAAAGTCAGACGTGGATTATTTGTCTTGTAAACACACATGCATGCACTCACACTACATATAACCAGGTGAAAGCATGCACAATACCGTTAATAATACATGTAAATGTCATGTAAGTTTCTTTTTTTTTTTTTTTTACATTTACAATTACATTTCTGAAACATTATGTAAGAAAAAAAAATCAAAACGATAAACCTTTTTTTCTTCGAGGTCCCGAGAGAATACATATCTTGGGGCTGTAGTGGATAACAAATTGAATTTTAATGCCGCACTGAGGCATTGTGCAAAAAAGACCAGTCACGTCTGTCTTGCCTAAAGAAACTGTCTCAGTTTCATGTTGACCAGTCTCTTATGATCCTATTTTACAGCTCTTATATCGAGTCTGTCCTGACGTACTCTCTTCTCTGCTGGTTCAGGAATCTCAACATCAAGTCCAAAAATGCACTATGTAGTATAATGAAAACAAGTAGCGAGATCTTGGGAGCTCAGCAGAGCGCGTTATCTGTCCTGTTTCACAAACAGGTAGGAAGGAAGTCTAAAGCCATCCTTTCCGACAGCTCCCGCCCCTTCATTTCTGGGTTTCAGTTTTTGCCTTGTGGCTCTCGGCTCAGATTTCGCCCTGTTAAGAGTAACAGGTATAAGAACTGCTTCATCCCTACTGACATTTCTTTTTAAAATGCCTCCCCTGATTGTTATTTATGTGCATTTGTTTGTGTTTTTACTTGCTGTACAACCAATTGCCGTCCAGGGACAAAATAAAGTTGAAGTTGAAACCAAATTAAAACCACTACAGTTTGAATTTACACAGAATTCATAATAAAACCACATTTATTTGATCGCTGTGGTTAGTAGTCGCTTTTTAAATTCCTATTTCACATAAGAGAAACATGTAAGATACAGACGAATCGCAAGAACAAAATGTTGGCATTGTATGCTTCTGCAAACCATGAATACGTTAGATTTGTATGTTTCATATATATCATATTTTCGTCTCAAAAGTGGCGTAGTATATGAGCTGAGTTGGTCATCAGGAGGTGGAGGGGATTGTGGATGGTCTGACAGCTCGGTGAGACACCTGCCAAGCTGCAGACCACTGTTTGAGACTAACAAACAACAAAACAAGTTGTGTTTTAGTGACTCGTTACTGTTTTTTCAGTGTTTTCTTCGGGTCCAAATGTTGGCGTTTGTAGCCACCTGTTGGCGGGGACAGTGGCACGAAAAGCAGTTGTGTTTTACTGGGACATTGCTGCTTTTCCTGCAGGGATTGTGCCCCCAAAAGTGGGTATTTAAGCCAAAACATGATCTACGAAATAACACTTTTTCTGGCGATTGGGTTGTGCGATAATAAAATAATAACTATAATAATAACTTTACTTGTATAGCACAGCTCATACAGCAAGTGCAACTCAAAGTGCTTTACCTAATGAAATGAGAAAATACACATAAAAGACAGAGTCAATAAAATTTAATCACACACACACACACACACACACACACACACTGAAACTACAAATTTTGGAGGGAAAACACACTGTGCTCCAGTCAAAACACCTACAGTGTATTTCTCACCAACAGAGGGCGACAACGCACAGCTTTTCCCACATGATGCACACACACGATGCAAATCAGCCTTTAAAGCCTGCTGGAATGAATGGTGGAGGAATGTCACTCTAACTCAAGCTGCACCCGCTCCAACACAATAACACCCTGCGCTCTTTTAGGTGTTTTACATCCAAGATCCCTCCTCCTCTATTTCGCCCTCTGAGCACATCCTCTGTGATCGCTCCTGCCATGCTGCTGCTGCTGCTGCTAAATAGGTCACTCGGGCAGAGAGGGAGGGAGGAAGTGAATGTGAGGGAGGAGAGGAGGCTTTTTGGTACAATGTGACACTGCAGAGTCTGCATCCAATGCAGGGTGCAAACCCACTCAGACAAATTGTCAGAGCACATGTGCTATCATCACCACAACTGAGTAGCGAGATGGGCTAAAGGGTTTGCGTCCTCATCCTGCCTGAATAATTGGATATACAACTGTGTGTGTGGATTAGAAGATTTGCAAGGCCCTATAAAACTAAGATTATGGGAGTTTTAACTCGGGATTACAGGTGCTGATGATGAGTAAGACACTTTCTCTATAGATGCCACCGTAGGCTGTACACAACAGAGGGAGCCACTAAGGGACTGTTCTTTACTTATCAGAGGAGGTTTTTTTTTATCTTGACCCTACCAAAAAGGTAAAAACATGTTTCCTTGAGCCTCCCTCAGTGACTGGAGGACAATGCATGACATAAATAACCATTATTAAAAAATATTTACACTAAATGTAGGTACAGGAGCCAATGCAACGAGCCAACAGCAAGGGAGTTAGCATCCAAACAAACTGTTAATTTCTTCTGTTGTGTTCAAACTAGGTGCAAATAAATCAATATGCGCAGGTGAATTACATGTGAAGTCAACGTAAAGACGCAATTAGGCCCAAATTCCCATCGGATGGCCCGATGGACATCATGGATGTGGCGTGACATGAAATACGTGAAATAAGCGGATAGCGCAATTTCGCGTCATACGCTTATTTACGAAAGTTGAAAAATCTGAACGTCAGTGACAGATTTGCGCCGCGATAGCCAATCAACATTGAGATCCTCCAGGGACGTATGATGCCAAAGACATACCAGTCGACGTTAATTCATCCATTCAGCGATTTCACTTGCGTATGACGCAGGTTATTCGTGCATGTAAAGCGAGTCAACGCAAAATATTCTAGCCTTTAAACTTGCACGAGTAATGCGACACAAACACAACATTAAGCGAAATATCCGCCCTCCTTCCAATCTGCAGCACTACAGAAGCTGTGTGTGCACTTCTGCAAAATATGGGTGCCCACCAGCTACTCGTCATTGGTCTTACCACACAAAATCTCAAAATCTAATAAGCCTACACATCCCACATGCTCCCACATGCATGCACAGAAAAACACACACACACCTGCATAACAGAGCGCACACAGCTGGCATTAGCAACATGTGCACCATGGCCGTTTTCCCAAATAAATAATGAATCACGGTAACTTGGCATGGCGGACGTTATTAGGTAAAAACTTACACCTCATTGTTCAAAAGTAACAAGTTAAAGGTTAAAAAGTAATACCTGGAGTTGGAAAAAAAGGCTTGGTTTTTCACTGTTGTCATGCATGTTTGTTTTTTTTACAGGAGCTGATGCAAATTTATGTTTTGGCAAAACAGTTTAAATGCGACATGAGAATTTTGATGTAATATCACTATTTTAAGCTCAGATTTCCTGTCGAAAGGGTGATGTGTTCAAGGACTGTCATAAACTTGAAAACCCAACAATAATTTCTGTTTTTACTAGGGATGGGTATCATTAAGATTTTATCGATACTACTACCCTAATAGATACTCTTACTGATACTTTTTCATTTCTAAATAATTGGTTTTTAGAAAATATATTCATTTTAAAAAGAATAAATTCAGAAAATGATTAGTGAATATTTTAAATATAACAAAATTTTGTTTCTAGAGCAGCAGTAATTTT